CTAGCATGTAGCCTACCTGAACTGTCATATACAACTAGCATGTAGCCTACCTGAACTGTCATATACAACTAGCATGTAGCTACCTGAACTGTCATATACAACTAGCATGTAGCCTACCTGAACTGTCATATACAACTAGCATGTAGCCTACCTGAACTGTCATATACAACTAGCATGTAGCCTACCTCAACTGTCATATACAACTAGCATGTAGCCTACCTGAACTGTCATATACAACTAGCATGTAGCCTACCTGAACTGTCATATACAACTAGCATGTAGCCTACCTCAACTGTCATATACAACTAGCATGTAGCCTATCTGAACTGTCATATACAACTAGCATGTAGCCTACCTCAACTGTCATATACAACTAGCATGTAGCCTACCTGAACTGTCATATACAACTAGCATGTAGCCTACCTCAACTGTCATATACAACTAGCATGTAGCCTACCTGAACTGTCATATACAACTAGCATGTAGCCTACCTGAACTGTCATATACAACTAGCATGTAGCCTACCTGAACTGTCATATACAACTAGCATGTAGCCTATCTGAACTGTCATATACAACTAGCATGTAGCCTACCTCAACTGTCATATACAACTAGCATGTAGCCTACCTCAACTGTCATATACAACTAGCATGTAGCCTACCTGAATTGTCATATACAACTAGCATGTAGCCTACCTGAACTGTCATATACAACTAGCATGTAGCCTACCTGAACTGTCATAATACAACTAGCATGTAGCCTACCTGAACTGTCATATACAACTAGCATGTAGCCTACCTGAACTGTCATAATACAACTAGCATGTAGCCTACCTCAACTGTCATATACAACTAGCATGTAGCCTACCTGAACTGTCATATACAACTAGCATGTAGCCTACCTCAACTGTCATATACAACTAGCATGTAGCCTACCTGAACTGTCATATACAACTAGCATGTAGCCTACCTGAACTGTCATATACAACTAGCATGTAGCCTACCTGAACTGTCATATACAACTAGCATGTAGCCTATCTGAACTGTCATATACAACTAGCATGTAGCCTACCTCAACTGTCATATACAACTAGCATGTAGCCTACCTCAACTGTCATATACAACTAGCATGTAGCCTACCTGAATTGTCATATACAACTAGCATGTAGCCTACCTGAACTGTCATATACAACTAGCATGTAGCCTACCTGAACTGTCATAATACAACTAGCATGTAGCCTACCTGAACTGTCATATACAACTAGCATGTAGCCTACCTGAACTGTCATAATACAACTAGCATGTAGCCTACCTCAACTGTCATATACAACTAGCATGTAGCCTACCTGAACTGTCATATACAACTAGCATGTAGCCTACCTCAACTGTCATATACAACCAGCATGTAGCCTACCTGAACTGTCATATACAACTAGCATGTAGCCTACCTGAACTGTCATAATACAACTAGCATGTAGCCTACCTCAACTGTCATATACAACTAGCATGTAGCCTACCTCAACTGTCATATACAACTAGCATGTAGCCTACCTGAATTGTCATATACAACTAGCATGTAGCCTACCTGAACTGTCATATACAACTAGCATGTAGCCTACCTGAACTGTCATAATACAACTAGCATGTAGCCTACCTGAACTGTCATATACAACTAGCATGTAGCCTACCTGAACTGTCATAATACAACTAGCATGTAGCCTACCTCAACTGTCATATACAACTAGCATGTAGCCTACCTGAACTGTCATATACAACTAGCATGTAGCCTACCTCAACTGTCATATACAACTAGCATGTAGCCTACCTGAACTGTCATATACAACTAGCATGTAGCCTACCTGAACTGTCATAATACAACTAGCATGTAGCCTACCTGAACTGTCATATACAACTAGCATGTAGCCTACCTGAACTGTCATAATACAACTAGCATGTAGCCTACCTGAACTGTCATATACAACTAGCATGTAGCCTACCTGAACTGTCATAATACAACTAGCATGTAGCCTACCTGCGACTGAGATTAGGAGGGTAGCAACCAGCCTGAGTGTTTGAGGGGATCAGTTTGAGCAATCTTGGTCACATAATGAGTAGTTATTTGGGTTGGGATGGTGATTTGTAGATCAGCGATTATTCGCACTCCAGCTGCAATGTGCCTGTATTCACGTACCTGAGACTGGGAGGGTAGAGGCAGCCTTCTGTTCCCTGAGCCAGGTGTTCCTCTCCTCCTGGCCCCACCACCACTGCTCTCATGGGGCTGTCTCCTCACCACGCTCCTGCCTGATCACAATAATATATATAGAATAATGCTAAATACATGTGCATTTACTACAAATGAGGTATAATCAGATGTTCCATAATGATGTTTATTTTAAGAAAATTGCATTGTCATAGAGGCAAAAATAAATACAATAGAATTTCAGGTATCAGTGTCAAATGTGTGCAATGTTGGGTAACTACAGGTCAAGTCATTCACATTTCTTCAGAATCATAGGGAAGATCTACGGGACGGCAGGTAGCCCTCGAGGTTAGAGCGTTGGGCCAGAAACTGAAAGGTTGCTGGTTCGAATCACAGAGCCGACACGTTGAAAGATCTTTCGCTGTGCCCTTGAGCAAGGCACTTAACCCCAAATGCTCCAGGGGTGCTGGACAATGGTGACCCTGGCCATGGCCCCACTCCCTGCGGGCGTCTCAGGGGGAGTTGGGATATTACACACTCGTACAGCATTACATTACACAAACGTACAGCACCCCCTTAATTAGTATGACAACAGAAGGTTCTCCCTAATGTATGGTCTACTCTCTGACATTACGTTATTAAAAAGATATGCCGCCCAAAAAATGATTTCCCTTTTATGGAACGTTTAGAAGATTACATCTAAATGGCGTTCTTTCACAGACAAATAATATTGCGAGGTGTTGAGTCTGCATGCCACCCTATTCCCTATATCAGGGGCAACTCCAGTCCTCAGCCTGATTGGTGTCACAATTTTACCCCAGCCCCAGCTAACACACCTGACTCCAATAATCAACTAATCATGATCTTCATTTTAGAATGCAATTAGTTTAATCAGCTGTGTTTGCTAGGGATGGGGAAAGGTGTGACACCACTCCGGCCCCTGAGGACTGGAGTTACCCATCCCTGACCCTGTACAGTGCATTCGGAAAGTATTCAGACCCTTTGACATTTTACACATTTTGTTACATTGCAGCCTTATTCTAAAATGGATTTAATCGTTTTTTCCCCCCTCATCAATCTACCACAATATCCCATAATGACAAAGCGAAAACAGGTTTTTAGAAATGTTTTGAAATGTATAAAACATAAAAAAACGGAAATATCAAATTTACATAAGTATTCAGACACTTTAATCAGTACTTTGTTGAAGCACCTTTGGCAGCGACTACAGCCTCAAGTCTTCTTGGGTATGACGCTACAAGCTTGGCACACCTGTATTTGGGTAGTTTTTCCCATTCTTCTCTGCAGATCCTCTCAAGCTCTGTCAGGTTGGATGGGGAGCGTCGCTGCACAGCTATTTTCAGGTCTCTCCAGAGATGTTCGATCGGGTTCAAGTCCAGGCTCTGGCTGGGCCACACAAGGATATTCAGAGACTTGTCCCGAAGCCACCCCTGTGTTGTCCTGGCTGTGTGCTTAGGGTCATTGTCCTGTTGGAAGGTGAACCTTCACCCCAGTCTGAGGTCCTGAGTGCTCTGGAGCAGGTTTTCATCAACAATTTCTCTATACTTTGCTCCGTTCATCTTTGCCTCGATCCTGACTAGTCTCCCAGTCCCTGCCGCTGAAAAACATCCCCACAGCATGATGCTGCCACCACCATGCTTTACCCTAGGGATGGTGCCAGGTTTCCTCCAGACGTGACGCTTGGCATTCAGGCCAAAGAGTTCAATCTTGGTTTCATCAGACCAGAGGATCTTGTTTCTCATGGTCTGAGAGTCCTTTAGGTGCCTTTTGGCAAACTCCAAGCGGGCTGTCATGTGCCTTTTACTGAGGAGTGGCTTCCGTCTGGCCACTCTAACATAAAGGCCTGATTGGGGCGGCAGGTAGCTTAGTGGGTAAGAGCGCTGTGCCAGTAACCGAAAGGTCTCTGGTTCTAATCCCCGAGCCGACTAGGTGAAAAATCTGTCGATGTGCCCTTAAGCAAGGCACTTAACCCTAATTGCTCATGTAAGTCGCTCTGGATAAGAGCGTCTGCTAAATGACTAAAATGTAAAATGTAAAAAAAATGGTGGCGTGCTGCAGAGATGGTTGTCCTTCTGGAAGGTTCTCCCATCTCCACAGAGGAACTTTGGAGCTCTGTCAGAGTGACCATCGGGTTCTTGGTCACCTCCCTGACCAAGGCCCTTCTCCCCCAATTTCTCCCAAAATACAGGGAAGGGGGTCTGAATACTTTCCGAATGCACTATATATAGGGCCCTATTGGTCCTGGTCAAAGCTAGTGCACAATGTAGGGAATAGGGTGCCATTTGAGACGCAACCTAAGCTAAATCTTCTTTGACCTTCTTACCATTGGGCGGGGAGAGGAAGAAGCCTCCCATCGTAGTGACGGCTTTGACTCCGTTGATCAGGCTGTCCCCGTTGATAGTAACGCGAGATAGGTTGGCACGGGCTTGAGGCGGGACAGTTTTACGGTCACCTAAGTCGATTACATACACCCCCCCCCCAAAAGAAAGACAAAACAGTCATTCATTTCAACAGTCCTCATTTCCAGAGGTTACTAGTTTCCCTGCTCCAGATTCTGTTATGAAAAACCTGAAGTTCCTCTCAATACAAAAACATGATGTGGCCCAAAAAGAACGACATTTCCCCCATTATATAGATCCATTTCACCGGCGTTGTAATCCCGTGTGGTGGTGGTGAGTGGTACGGGGGGGGGGGGGGGGGGGGGGGGCAATGAAAACACAGCGTATCGATTCAACTTAAGAAGTAGCTTTCCTAAGAAAAATGTTTATACCTAAAGAATCTCAAACGAAGTTACAAACTGGCAGGCACACAAAGAAAGTACAGTCCCGTCAAAGGGTTTCTGTTGAACTAGCCTGCAGCACAAGGTGGGGAGGCTTTAGGTCACTGGGTCCTCAGTACTTTCTATGTAAAACATTAGCAGTTTGAAATATATTTCCAATAGCAGGTGGATGACATCAGTCATAAAGTACATACAATATAAAATAACCAACTGTTAGGGATGGAATGATTCAGCGATACATAATAAACCCAAGGAAGAGTAGCTGCTGCCTTGGCAGGAACTAATGGGGATCCATAATAAACCCCAGGAAGAGTAGCTGCTGCCTTGGCAGGAACTAATGGGGATCCATAATAAACCCCAGGAAGAGTAGCTGCTGTCTTGGCAGGAACTAATGGGGATCCATAATAAACCCCAGGAAGAGTAGCTGCTGCCTTGGCAGGAACTAATGGGGATCCATAATAAACCCCAGGAAGAGTAGCTGCTGCCTTGGCAGGAACTAATTGGGATCCATAATAAACCCCAGGAAGAGTAGCTGCTGCCTTGGCAGGAACTAATGGGGATCCATAATAAACCCCAGGAAGAGTAGCTGCTGCCTTGGCAGGAACTAATGGGGATCCATAATAAACCCCAGGAAGAGTAGCTGCTGCCTTGGCAGGAACTAATGGGGATCCATAATAAACCCCAGGAAGAGTAGCTGCTGCCTTGGCAGGAACTAATGGGGATCCATAATAAACCCCAGGAAGAGTAGCTGCTGCCTTGACAGGAACTAATGGGGATCCTTAATAAATACAAATCTGTTGTGATTGAAATGATGTTTCCTCTCCTTCCAGACTGGTCTCAGACTAGACGTAACATAGTAAAAGTAAATCTGTGACACTCAAATTAGTATGATATGTTCTGTTTGGACCAGTCTGCTGTTCTAATAGGCTATTCGCACATTTGCATTCAGATGCTTATAAAATGGCTTTCGCAATGTCAAATCATAGGCTTTATTAGTTGAGTGACAACCAATGTAATTTGCTGGGTCATTGTTACCAAATAAGCTGTAGAAAATTGTGTTTGTAGCCTAACAGAGTGGATGCAGTTCACACCCAACTGCCGATTGGGATTTTCCATTATACCATGTGTATTTAGATTGTTCAGGTTCACCATAAGACATTGTTTTGGTCGTTGTACTTTAAACACTCAGTGGATTGGTCCATTACATGGACAGGGTAATTATATAAAGGTCCATTCATTCATTCATTGGTCAGGAGAAGCGCTCCATAATCTACCAACCAGTCTAAACCATTCTCTTCGGAGACGGGGGTAAAATTCAAAGCTGCATTATATTAATAGTCTTAAATGCCATGCTAATTTCTAAAGATAAATATTGACATAGTACTAGCTCAAAATATGTTTAATCTGCAAAAATGACCAGTTCATCAGTGGGTGATGGTGATTTCAGATAAAATGACCAGTTAATCAGTGGGTGATGGTGATTTCAGATAAAAAGTGGGGGTGACAAAAAGCAGAAATTGCCTCCACCCCTAATCTGATAGTGGGGTGGTACATGCTCAGTCTGCCCTATGGCTCAGCTCAGGTGCCTACACACACACCATTGACACTGACACACACACACAGAGGGCCACTCAGAAGTCATTTCAGACAAATTCATCTCAGAGAGGCTCAGCTCCTGAGCTCCCATCAGTAGCAGATATGAATTTAAAATGGAAAATGAATGTGTTCATGCAAAAAAAAATATTGCATCGAATCGTATCGAATCAACTCGTTCCCCTAATCAAACCGAATCGTTTCAAACTAAAATGTATTGTTCCTGTATCATATCAGAGCCCTGTATCTAGATGCGTATCGAATTGTTCATGAAAGGAGAGATGCACATCCCTACTAACTATGCCGTAAAACTTCAAAGCTCAAACTACACAACAAGCTCACTGTGATAAAGTTAATCTAATTTGAATGACATGAACATTAATGTCTGTGAAGGAACATTTTATGTTCGTGCTTTTCTAATAACCAATTCGACTGGGTTCATGCAAGTGACTGATTGATCATGCCTGGGAGAAATCCTCACTATCAGTATAAGCAATTTGGCAGTACGCCCAGAACATTGCTCGGGAACCAAAAGGGGTATCTCAGTTTCAAGGTCTCAGCTTGGAGAGAAGAAGCCTCGTGAGGTATTGGTCGGTCACATGCATGAACCAAACGTTAATGATGAATTAAATATGAATAATGAATAAGCTAAATCATGAAAATCTAACTTGTCTGTGTAAGCAGTATATAAGAGAACTAACGGGACTGCCCCGGCGGAGCTCCTGACCGACGTGTACTATGGTGCATTGGGTTGGTTGGAACCTCACCAGCTTGCTGATAATAAAGAATGATTCATTTAATATTGACTTCAGGTGGTCATTTCCACGATACGTCCTTCTCAACTGGTGACAACAACACATGTATTAGAGATGTGAGGACCGGACATTCTGATCAATCTACAGTATAGTACATTACCGTCCTTGGTGGCTAAGGCACTACGGACTCCATGCCAGAGCTGGGAGATCTCCTCGTCTGTGGGAGTACGGTCCAGACAGAGGCCTTTCTCATTGTACAGCAGCCCCCGTCTGGCAGCCCCTCCCTGGGCGTCCTGCTGGCCTGACATGGGGATGGCCTTGGATGGGTTGGAAACAACACCGCTATCTGCCCTAATGACATGCGCACAGGTCTGGGACGGGGCGAAGCTGTCCAGGGTGTCCTTATTACACAAAGCCTGCTCTACAGGAAGACCTGCTTTAGTAGCAGCAGAGTTAGACTTATCCATGTTGTAAGGAGTCTTGGTGGTGTCATTAGAGTGATCCATGTTGTAAGGAGTCTTGGTGGTGTCATTAGAGTGATCCATGTTGTAAGGAGTCTTGGTGGTGCCAGCGTGATCCATGTTGTAAGGAGTCTTGGTGGTGTCAGAGTGATCCATGTTGTAAGGAGTCTTGGTGGTATCATTAGACTGATCCATGTTGTAAGGAGTCTTGGCGGTGTCAGAGTGATCCATGTTGTAAGGCTCTGCAGCCTCTCCTTTGTGTGTGTTAGGCTCAATGGTTTCAGTGCGGGGAGGGGGGCGAGGCACCATGACCTTCCCGTGGGTCACCCGGGCCACGTGGCTGCTGGCCTCGGTAGCAGACTGGGGTCTGATGACCGTGCCTTTCCTGGAGCGGGACGAAACAGGATCCATCCCTGCCCTGGCAGATCTCACTCTCCTGGGGACCCTGGGGCACCCGGTCCTCCCGCTGCTCCCTCGCTGGACCCTGACCTCCATGGCCTCCTGGTGCCCCTGCAGCCTGCTCTCCTGGACCCTGACATCTGCCCAGGCCTGCTTGGTAAAGTGATAGCCGGTGGAGGCTAGAGGGGGGGTGGTGGTGGCCACTGTCTGGTCCTGACCCTGTTGGTGGTCTGATGATGCTGACTGCTGTTTATGTGGAGGTAGTGGACACCCAGAAACACACTTGTTGTTTGTTATAGGATTCTGTTCCATCAGATTTCTGTTCATCTCCTCCTCTCCTTCCAGATTGACCTCGTCAAACCAGCGTATCTTCTTGTTGACCGTCTTGTTGCCCTCTGCGTCCTTGACTTTCGTTCTGGTCAGTTCCACACTATCTCTGATGGACATGGTGAATTGCTTGGTGAATATTAAACGCCCGGTGTTGTACATACTAGAGCTAGCGTTTCCTCCCGACACTCCGTATTTTGATTGCTTTTTAAGAATTCCCTTTATAAATCTGACAACAGTGCCTTTAGGATGATCTGTGGCTGTGCTGACAGCAGCTGCAGGTGGAGGAGGTGGAGGCGTGTCTGTGCGGTGTGTTGGTGCTCCTTCCACCTGCAGGCTCTTCAGGCCTTTAGGGAAGTCAGACCTGATATTACAATGACCCAATGTCTGACTGAGTGGGTCTGTGTTCTTAGACCTCCCGGCTTTGGGCTCAGAGTTGGACCCTTTGTTGAGGTTGTTCGTGGCATCTTCTCCACTGGGTTTGTTCCTGTGTGACTGGTGGTGTGTGCTCCCTGTTGGCTGAACGGTGGCGGAGTCCTCTCGGGCCCCTGAGCTACTCTTAGTGTTATAACTGAGGATATGATCAGGGTTTGAGGAGGGGGCTTCACACAGAAGGTCTTTGTGGCTGCAGGTTTTCCCAGGCAGAAGGACCTGGTTCGCCGACGGATGTTTGGAATACTTGTCCTCCTGATTTCTCACCTGCTGCCTAAATTCTAACTTTCCCTCTGGGGTCAGACAAGAGGTGAACTCCGGCAGCGTTTTGTCTGGGGTAGAAGCCTCGGAGCACGCTGCGACCGCTGAGACTCTGTGGTCCCCCCTCTGATGACTTTCCCTTTCGTCAGGGTCACCGTTATATGGACGTATTGAGGACGTATCTATAATCCCACTCAGAGTTAGCAGGCTGTGGTGACTGACACTGAGGAGTGGGGACTGGGGCTGGGTTACAGTGCTACTCTGAGATGATGAATGGGCTGTACAACTCTGCCACCCAGTGGCCTGTGAGAGCTGGTGCAGCCTACTGTTACAGTCTTCTACAGACTCCTCTGTCTGCCTTGGTCTGGGGGGTTGAGGGCTAGCATCAGCTTTGCCCTGTTGGAGTAGAAGGTTACCACTTAGGAAACTCTTTGTTGGTGGACAAAAGGACAAGTCAGTGGATGGACCATTGGGGTGTTTCTGGACTCTCTGTGTTGTGTCCTCCATCTCCAAGCTATCCAGACTGGACAGGCTCTCTGACTCAGTGACTTCGTTCACATTATGATGCTGTAATACAGAAGAGATAGTTTTATTGGTTGATTCATTGATATTTGGGTAAAACTATTCGTACAGATAAAAACTATTTAAAAGTATCAAGAACCCCAGAGGATGACTGATGTAAGCATAAAAACACTTATTTTCAATGTGTTCCTCTGAGATGCATTAATTCAACAAGAGAAGAGATGCATTAATTCAACAGGAATAGAAGAGATGCATTAATTCAACAGGAATAGAAGAGATGCATTAATTCAACAAGTGATGAATGTCATGATGGTAGGATATTATTAATAATGTGCATAGCTACACCATATATACGAAAGTATGTGGACACCACTTCAAATTAGTGGATTTGGCTATTTCAGTCACACCCGTTGCTGACAGGTGTATAAAATCGAGCACGCAGCCATGCAATCTCCATAGATAAACATTGGCAGTTGAATGGCCTTACTGAAGAGCTCAGTGACTTTTAGCACCTAAAAATCGTCTGTCCTCGGTTGCAACACTCACTACCGAGTTCCAAACTGCCTCTGGAAGCAACGTCAGCACAATAACTGTTAGTCGGGAGCTTCATGAAATGGGTTTCCATGGCTGAGCAGCCGCACACAAGCCTAAGATCACCATGTGCAATGCCAAGTGTCGGCTGGAGAGGTGTAAAGCTCACCGCCATTGGACTCTGGAGCAGTGGAAACGCTTTCTCTGGAGTGATGAATCACGCTTCACCATCTGGCAGTCCGACGGACGAATCTGGGTTTGGCAGAAGGAAGGAGAACGCTACCTGCCCCAATGCATAGTGCCAACTGTAAAGTTTGGTGGAGGAGGAATAATGGTATGGGGCTGTTTTTCATGGTTCGGGCTAGGCCCCTTAGTTCCAGTGACGGGAAATCTTAACGCTACAGCATACAATGACATTCTAGACAATTCTGTGCTTCCAACTTCCCAAAAAAATAAATACTATTTTTTTTTTTTTTTTACTTTGTGGCAACAGTTTGGGGAAGGTCCTTTCCTATTTCAGCATGACAATGCCCCCGTGCACAAAGCGAGGTCCATACAGAAATGGTTTGTCAAGATCGGTATGGAAGAACTGGACTGGCCTGCACAGAGCCCTGACCTCAACCCCATCGAACACCTTTGGGATGAATTGGGAACACCGACTGCGAGCCAGGCCTAATCGCCCAACATCAGTGCCTGACCTCACTAATGCTCTTGTGGCTGAATGGAAGAAAGTCCCCCGAAGCAATGTTCCAACATCTAGTGGAAAGCCTTCCCAGAAGAGTGGATACTAATGCCCATGATTTTGGAAGGAGATGTTTGACAAGCAGGTGTCCACATACTTTTGGTCATGTAGTGCATCTCAAGTATCTAGTGCCCCTGGACCCACGCACAGACATCGGTAACATTCATGTGTGTGTGTGTGTGTGTGTGTGTGTGTGAGAGTGTGTGTGTGTGTGTGTGTGTGTGTGTGTGTGTGTGTGTGTGTGTGTGTGTGTGTGTGTGTGTGTGTGAGAGTGTGTGTGTGTGTGTGAGTGAGTGAGTGAGTGAGTGAGTGAGTGAGTGAGTGAGTGAGTGAGTGAGTGAGTGAGTGAGTGAGTGAGTGAGTGTGTGTGTGTGTGTGTGTGTGTGTGTGTGTGTGTGTGTGTGTGTGTGTGTGTGGTGTGAGTGAGTGAGTGAGTGAGTGAGTGAGTGAGTGAGTGAGTGGTGAGTGAGTGAGTGAGTGAGTGAGTGTGTGTGTGTGTGTGTGTGTGTGTGTGTGTGTGTGTGTGTGTGTGTGTGTGTGTGAGTGCTCAGAGGGGACAGTCTGCCATCTAAAAAGGGCCTCTGTCTGTTTGCTCAGTCTTGTGATGCTGAAGCAGGTCCAGGCAGTAGCAGCTACAGGGCTAACGTTACGCTACAGGGCTAACGTTACGCTACAGGGCTAACGTTACGCTACAGGGCTAACGTTACGCTACAGGGCTAACATTACACTACAGGGCTAACGTTACGCTACAGGGCTAACGTTACGCTAAAGGGCTAACGTTACACTACAGGGCTAACGTTACGCTAAAGGGCTAACGTTACCTGAAAGGGCTAACGTTACACTACAGGCTAACGTTACGCTAAAGGGCTAACGTTACACACTACAGGGCTAACGTTACACTACAGGGCTAACGTTACGCTAAAGGGCTACGTTACCACTACAGGGCTAACCGTTACCACTAAGGGCTAACGTTACGCTAAAGGGCTAACGTTACACTAAGGGCTAACGTTACACTACAGGGAACGTTACGCTAAAGGGCGACGTTACACTACAGGGGCTAACGGCTATACAACTACAGGGCTAACGTTACACTACAGGGCTAACGTTACCACTAAAGGGCTAACGTTACGCTAAAGGGCTAACATTACACTACAGGGCTAACGTTACACTACAGGGCTAACGTTACAACTACCGGGCTAACGTTACACTAAAGGGCTAACGTTACCACTACAGGGATAACGTTACACTTACAGGGCTAAACATTACGCTAAAGGGCTAACGTTGTACACTACAGGGCTAACGTTACACTACAGGGCTAACGTTACGCCTAAAGGGGCTACGTTACAACTACAAGGGCTAACGTTACACTAACGGGCTAACGTGGACACTACAGGGCTAACGTTACACTACAGGGCTAACGTTACACTTAAAGGCCTAACGTTACACTACAGGCAACGTACTAAGCAACTACAGGGCTAACGTTACACTACAGGGCTAACTACACTACAGGTTACACTAAAGGCTAACGTTTTACACTACAGGGCTAACGTTACACTACAGGGCTAACGTTACACTACAGGGCTAACGTACACTACAGGGCTAACGTTACACTACAGGGCTAACGTTACACTACAGGGCTAACGTTACACTACAGGCATACGTTACAGCTAAAGGGCTAACGTTACACTAAAGGCTAACGTTACACTAAAGGGCTAACGTTACACTACAGGGCTAACGTAACACTAAGGGCTAACGTTACACTACAGGGCTAACGTTACACTACAGGGCTAACGTTACACTACAGGGCTAACGTTACACTACAGGGCTAACGTTACACTAAAGGGCTAACGTTACGCTAAAGGGCTAACGTTACACTACAGGGCTAACGTTACACTAAAGGGCTAACGTTACACTACAGGGATAACGTTACACTACAGGACCTTTTTCACCTCCACAGCAACACATCCACAGCCAGAGAGAAGAGACGTAGCGGTTAGCTTTTTTAATTGAAACAACTCATTGATATAGGCTACAAATGTAATGGAGATATGTACTGTAAGCTTTAGAATACATATGGGTAGTTTGCATGATTTAAATGTTCATTAATACGAACGTATGTGCTTCTCCAGATATACAGTGCATTCGGAAAGTACTCAGACCCCTTGAATTTTTCCACATTTAGTTACGTTACAGCCTTATTCTAAATTATCTTCAATCTACACACAATACCCCATAACGACAAAGCGAAAACAGGTTTTTATAAATTTTTGCAAATGTATTAAAAATAAAAACTGAAATATCTTATTTACATAAGTATTCACACCCTTTGCTATGAGACTCAAAATTGAGCTCAGGTGCATCCTGTTTCCATTGATCAGAGATGTTTCTACAACTTGATTGGAGTCCATATGTGGTAAATTCAATTGATTGGACATGATTTGGAAAGGCACACACCTGTCTATAAAAGGTCCCACAGTTGACAGTGCATGTCAGAGCAAAAAACAAAGCCATGAGGTCGAAGGAATTGTCCGTAGCGCTCCGAGACAGGATTGTGTCGAGGCACAGATCTGGTGAAAGGTACCAAAAAAATTCTGCAGCATTGAAGGTCCCCAAGAACACAGTGGCTTCCATCATTCTTAAATGGAAGAAGTTTGGAACCACCAAGACTCTTCCTAGAGCTGGCCGCCCGGCCAAACTGAGCAATCGGGGGAGTAGGGCCTTGTACAGGGAGTTGACCAAGAACCCGATGGTCACTCTGACAGAGCTCCAGAGTTCCTCTGTGGAGATGGGAGAACCTTCCAGAAGGACAATCATCTCTGTAGCACTCCACCAATTAGGCCTTTATGGTAGTGGCCAGACGGAAGCCACTCCTCAGTAAAAGGCACATAACAGCCCGCTTGGAGTTTGCCAAAAGGCACCTAAAGGACTCTCAGACCATGAGAAACAAGATTCGGTTTTGGCCTGAATGCCGAGCGTCACGTCTGGAGGAAACTTGGCACCATCCCTATGGTGAAGCATGGTGGTGGCAGCATCATGCTGTGGGGATGTTTTTCAGCGGCAGGGACTGGGAGACTAGTCAGGGTCGAGGGAAAGATGAAATGAGCAAAATACAGAGAGATCCTTGATGAAAACCTGCTCCAGAGCGCTCAGGACCTCAGACTGGGGCACAAAGCCAAGACAACGCAGGAGTGGCTTCGGGACAAGTCTCTGAATGTCCTTGTGTGGCCCAGCCAGAGCCCGGAATTGAATCCGATCTAACATCTCTGGAGAGACCTGAAAATAGCTGTGCAGCAACGCTCCCCATCCAACCTGACAGAGCTTGAGAGGATCTGCAGAGAAGAATGGAAAAAACTCCCCAAATACAGGTGTGCCAAGCTTGTAGCGTCATACCCGAGAAGACTCGAGGCTGTAATCGCTGCCAAAGGTGCTTCAACAAAGTACTGAGTAAAGGGTCTGAATACTTATGTAAATGTCATATTTTAATTTTTCTATTTTTAATAAATTAGCAAACATTTCTACAACACTGTTTTCACTTTGTCATTATGGGGTATTGTGTGTAGATTGATGAGGAAAAAAACGATTTAATCAATTTTGGAATAAGGCTGTAACGTAACAAAATGTGGAAAAAGTCAATGTGGAAAAAGTCAAGGGTTCTGAATACTTTCCCGAAGCCACTGTAGTCCAACATTTGAGATAAGGATGGTAAACAACAGATATGAGATTTTCACCATGCGTCACATCAGAACCAGACTCTCTGTGTGGCCTAGATTAGTGGTTCTCAGCCCTCTCGTCTGAGACCCCCAGACGTTTCACCATGTTGTTGTAGCCCTGAACTACCACACCGGACTCACTAGTCAAGGGCTTGATGATCAGTTGACAAGCTGAATCAGGCGTGCTAGCTTTGGAATATAATAAATACATGGAAGAGCTGAGGGGTTCCCGAGGAGAGGCTTGAAAACCACTGGCCTAGATGACCGACAAAGCCTACCTGTGGACTGCTACAGGTCTCCCTGTCCCTCAGCTGTGTGTCCTGCAGCAGGTTGAGGAAGACCCTGTCCATCTCCCTGTCCCTCAGCTGTGTGTCCTGCAGCTCGTCCCTCTCCCTGTCCCTGTCCCTCAGCTGTGTGTCCTGCAGCTGGTCCCTGTCCCTGTCCCTCAGCTGTGTGTCCTGCAGCTGGTCCCTGTCCCTCAGCTGTGCGTCCTGCAGCTGGTTGGGGAAAAGTAGCCTGTTCTTAAAGCTGCTGAGGGTCCTGTCCTGCATCAGTTTGCTGTAGGCCTCCACGGCAGAAAGGGTCCTCTGGTGGAGCGACGGGCTGGGTGTCGGGGGAGGCTTAGGGGATGAAGTGCAGCTCCTGTTTTTAAACCAGAGGATTGACCAGAGAAACATGCTGATGGAGATATGTAGTTGGTATAATAACGTTAATTCATATAAATGTCTGTAAACTATAGTGTTGTTAAGCTTATTCCAGATCAGTTTGTGCTCTTGCCAACTCCATTGCTGCCATTGTCAAGCCATAACATGACAATGAGTGACAAGGAGTCTGTGGTATTATAGCACAAACAGACAGGGACTCAGGCTAGAAGATCACACATACAGGGGGAAAAAAGTTTTTAGTCAGCCACCAATTGTGCAAGTTCTCCCACTTATAAAGATGAGAGAGGCCTGTAATTTTCATCATAGGTACACGTCAACTATGACAGACAGAATGAGAAAAAAATTCCAGAAAATCACATTGTAGGATTTTTAATGAATTTATTTGCAAATTATGGTGGAAAATAAGTATTTGGTCACCTACAAACAAGCAAGATTTCTGGCTCTCACAGACCTGTAACTTCTTCTTTAAGAGGCTCCTCTGTCCTCCACTTGTTACCTGTATTAATGGCACCCGTTTGAACTTGTTATCAGTATAAAAGACACCTGTCCACAACCTCAAACAGTCACACTCCAAACTCCACTATGGCCAAGACCAAAGAGCTGTCAAAGTACACCAGAAACAAAATTGTAGACCTGCACCAGGCTGGGAAGACTGAATCTGCAATAGGTAAGCAGCTTGGTTTGAAGAAATCAACTGTGGGAGCAATTATTAGGAAATGGAAGACATACAAGACCACTGATAATCTCCCTCGATCTGGGGCTCCACGCAAGATCTCACCCCGTGGGGTCAAAATGATCACAAGAACGGTGAGCAAAAATCCCAGAACCACACGGGGGGATCTAGTGAATGACCTGCAGAGAGCTGGGACCAAAGTAACAAAGCCTACCATCAGTAACACACTACGCCGCCAGGGACTCAAATCCTGCAGTGCCAGGCGTGTCCCCCTGCTTAAGCCAGTACATGTCCAGGCCCGTCTGAAGTTTGCTAGAGTGCATTTGGATGATCCAGAAGAGGATTGGGAGAATGTCATATGGTCAGATGAAACCAAAATATAACTTTTTGGTAAAAACTCAACTCGTTGTGTTTGGAGGACAAAGAATGCTGAGTTGCATCCAAAGAACACCATACCTACTGTGAAGCATGGGGGTGGAAACATCATGCTTTGGGGCTGTTTTTCTGCAAAGGGACCAGGACGACTGATCCGTGTAAAGGAAAGAATGAATGGGGCCATGTATCGTGAGATTTTGAGTGAAAACCTCCTTCCATCAGCAAGGGCATTGAAGATGAAACGTGGCTGGGTCTTTCAGCATGACAATGATCCCAAACACACCGCCCGGGCAACGAAGGAGTGGCTTCGTAAGAAGCATTTCAAGGTCCTGGAGTGGCCTAGCCAGTCTCCAGATCTCAACCCCATAGAAAATCTTTGGAGGGAGTTGAAAGTCTGTGTTGCCCAGCGACAGTCCCAAAACTTCACTGCTCTAGAGGAGATCTGCATGGAGGAATGGGCCAAAATACCAGCAACAGTGTGTGAAAACCTTGTGAAGACTTACAGAAAACGTTTGACCTGTGTCATTGCCAACAAAGGGTATATCACAATTGAGAAACTTTTGTTATTGACCAAATACTTATTTTCCACCATAATTTGCAAATAAATTCATTAAAAATCCTACAATGTGATTTTCTGGATTTTTATTTCTAATTTTGTCTGTCATAGTTGACGTGTACCTATGATGAAAATTACAGGCCTCTCTCATCTTTTTAAGTGGGAGAACTTGCACAATTGGTGGCTGACTAAATACTTTTTTTCCCCACATATAAAAAGCCTGGAGAAATATGCAGATGGTGACATGCAGTTGGTGTAATAACGTTAATAAATAAGCCATTAAATGTTTATAAAGCCTTTATAATCGTTTATGTGTTCATAGGGTAATGGTTATACATGTTTATATATGCTGGAATATTCATTTCTTACTACATTTACATTTACATTTACGTCATTTAGCAGACGCTCTTATCCAGAGCGACTTAGAAATTGGTGCATTCACCTTATAGCCAGTGGGACAACCACTTTACAATATGTATTTTTTTACATTTTTTTGGGGGGGGGGTGGGGTAAGGGGGGTAGAAGGATTACTTTATCCTATCCCAGGTATTCCTTAAAGAGGTGGGGTTTCAAGTACACTACTAGTACACATAGTAGTTGTAAACAGTGTATGAATGCTATTATAGCAGCCATTCTGACCTGTTGGGTGTGGAAGATTGTCTGGTATAGGAACTCAAGGTCAAGGTGCCTTGTATGTGATTCAGCGCCTCCTCGATATTAAGGGTGCTCGTCCTGAAAGCTGCAATACAACCAAGATAAATGTCTGTTAAAGTAACTTGTTGGTATAATTACAGTGCATTCGGAAAGTATTCAGACCCCTTGACCTTTTCCACATTTTGTTACAGCCTTATTCTAAAACGGATTCAAACTAAAATAAATCATCAACAACACCCCACAATGATGAATGGCGCCGGAGAAGATGCCGTTTTACAGCCCTCTAACCAATTGTACTATTGTGCGTGTTTTTTCGCGTTATTTGTAATTTATTCTGTACATAATGTTTCTGCCACCGCCTCTTATGACCAAAAAGAGCTTCTGGATATCAGGACAGCGATTACTCACCTCGTATTGGACAAATATGTTTTCTTCAACGAACCGGACGCGAAGGATATCCTACAGACACCCGACAAGGCCCAAATCCCTGTCATTCGCAGGAGAAAGAGACAGAGATATTGTGGACGTAGGTCGGGGTGCCTTGTAAGGATCCGACGGCGAGCGAGTAAGCTGCCTCTTCCATCAATCCTATTAGCCAATCTTCAATCATTGGAAAACAAAATGGACGACCTAAGATCACGGTTATCCTACCAACAGGACATTAAAAACTGTAATATCTTATGTTTCACCGAGTCGTGGCTGAACGACGACATGGACAACATACAGCTGACGGGATATACGCTACATCGGCAGGATAGAACGGCTGACGGCCTTTACACTGTAAGACAAGGGGTGGCGCTCTGTGTATATTTGTAAACAACAGCTGGTGCACAAAATCTAATACTAGGGAAGTCTCAAGGTTTTGCTCGCCTGAGGTAGAGTATCTCATGATAAGCTGTAGACCACACTATTTACCAAGAGAGTTTTCATCTATATTTTTCGTAGCTGTCTATTTACCACCACAAACCAATGCTGGCATTAAGACCGCACTCACCGAGCTGTATAAGGCCATAGGTAAACAGGAAAATGCTCATCCAGAGGCAGCGCTCCTAGTGGCCGGAGACTTTAATGCAGGGAAACTTAAATCCGTTCTACCTAATTTCTACCAGCATGTTAAATGTGCAACCAGAGGAAAAAAAAACTCTAGACCACCTTTACTCCACACACAGAGACGCATACAAAGCTCTCCCTCGCCCTCCATTTGGCAAATCTGACCATAACTCTATCCTCCTGATTCCTGCTTATAAGCTAAAACTAAAGCAGGAAGCACCAGTGACTCGGTTAATAAAAAAGTGGTCAGATGACGCAGATGCTAAGCTACAGGACTGTTTTGCTAGCACAGAATGGAACATGTTCCGGGATTCTTCCGATGGCATTGAGAAGTACACCACATCAGTCACTGGCTTCATCAATAAGTGCATCGATGATGTCGTCCCCACAGTGACTGTGCGTACATACCCCAACCAGGAGCCATGGATTACAGGCAACATCCGCACTGAGTTAAAGGGTAGAGCTGCCGCTTTCAAGGAGTGGGACACTAACCCGGACACTTATAAGAAATCCCGCTATGCCCTCTGACGAACCATCAAACAGGCAAAGAGTCAATACCGGACTAAGATTGAATCGTACTACACCGGCTCTGACACTCGTCGGATGTGGCAGGGCTTGAAAACTATTACAGACTACAAAGGGAAGCACAGCCGCAAGCTTCCCAGTGACTTGAGCCTACCAGACGAGCTAAATCACTTCTATGCTCGCTTCGAGGCAAGCAACACTGAAGCATGCATGAGAGCCCCAGCTGTTCCGGATGACTATGTGATCACGCTCTCCGTAGCCGATGTGAGTAAGACTTTTAAGCAGGTCAACATTCACAAGGCCGCAGGGCCAGACGGATTACCAGGACGTGTACTCCGAGCATGTGCTGACCAACTGGCAAGTGTCTTCACTGACATTTTCAACATGTGCCTGACTGAGTCTATAATACCAACATGTTTCAAGCAGACCACCAAAGTCCCTGTGCACAAGGACACTAAGATAACCTGCCTAAATGACTACCGACCCATAGCACTCACGTCTGTAGCCATGTGGTCCTCTGTAGCTCAGCTGGTAGAGCACGGCGCTTGTAACGCCAGGGTAGTGGGTTCGATCTCCGGGACCACCCATACGTAAAAATGTATGCACACATGACTTTATGTCGCTTTGGATAAAAGCGTCTGCTAAATGGCATATTATTATTATTATGAAGTGCTGGTCATGAAAGGCTGGTCATGGCTCACATCAACACCATTATCCCAGAAACCCTAGACCAGGGGTGTCAAAGTCAAATGGACGGAGGGCCAAATAAAAAATTTAGCTACAAGCCGAGGGCCGGACTGTTCGAATGTTCATTGAAAAATTTTTAAATGACGCATATAGTCTAGTGAACCTAATTGAACCTACTGAAAACCTAACAAATATGTTCCAATATGATCAGATAAATAAAGCAATATTTTCTTATGGCTCTGTCAGTAATCTTTAATTTTCAACAGACACAAAAGACACATTTCCTTTATATAAAAATCCCCATAACATGAACATTAAATGAAAGAAACCGGTATTCAAGGCACCATCAGTAGCCTATATTTTCTATTTTAGCAAAAGTGGGCTAAATTTACTTCAAAGAAAAAAACAATAATAGCAATTTTCTATCATCCACTCAACTGAAATATTTTTAAAATATAATTGGATTGAAATACAATAAAATAAAGTGCAAAAATCTATTAATCAAAAACAACACTTTGTTTAAGGAGAAGTAACATGCGGTGATTCAAACCTTTGGCTCTGATAAAGTTAACTGTGCGCGTGATGATCCTCATTACATGCTCCATTTTCAAGGCTTTACCGCACAACGCTTCCTGGTGTATGATACAATGATAAGCTGTCAGCTCACCTGTCGCGTTTTCCTCTTGCATCTTTTCCCGTATCTTCGCCACCAGTCCGCTCCTGTGTCCACACATCGCAGGTGCTCCGTCGGTTGTCAAACCCACGAGTTTTTCCCAAGGCAGCTCCATCTCATTTACACATCTTGACACCTCTTCATACAAATCATGCCCCGTAGTTGTGCCATGCATAGGACGTAAAGCCAAAAACTCCTCTGTCACGCTTAGGCTGGAGTCCACTCCGCGGATGAAAATTGACAACTGGGCAATGTCAGAAATGTCGGTGCTCTCATCCACAGCCAAGGAATATGCAATGAAATCTTTTCCCTTTTTCACAAGCTGCTCTTTTAGATTGATGGACAACTGGTCTACTCTCTCGGCAATGGTGTTTCTGCTCAGACTCACATTTAAAAAGAGTTGCCTTTTTTCTGGGCAAACTTCGTCACAAACTTTAATCATGCAGTTTTTGATGAAATCCCCCTCCGTAAATGGCCGGGCTGATTTAGCGATCTCTTCTGCCAAAATAAAACTGGCCTTGACAGCAGCCTGGCCTTGTGATTTGGCTTTTTTGAACAGAGCCTGTCGAGATTTGAGGCCTCGTTTTAATTCCTCTGCCTTTTGTAGCCTTTGTTCCATGTCCATATTCTTGTTTTTGTCCGCGTGTTTCGTTTCATAATGTCGTCTCAGATTATACTCTTTCAGTACCGCCACACTTTCTCCACACAGAAGACACACAGGTTTTCCAGCTACCTCCGTGAACATATACTCCGACTCCCACCTTGTTTGAAACCCCCGGTTCTCAGTGTCCACCTTCCGTTTTGCCATTTTTGATGGGTATCTGAAAGTTAATTTTACTGTGATGCTGACGACTGCTGTGCCAATAAATATTGAAATGAAGCAGCCTACTGCTCGGTGCGTCACCGTTGCATTGTGGGAAATGTAGTATTGGTGCGTGTAAAAGATCTGCGGGCTGCCGGCTTGCTGCGGTCTGCGGGCCGGTTCTAATAATAAATCAAGATCATCCCAGGGGCCGTAAAAAACCTTCTCGCGGGCCGGATGTGGCCCGCGGGCCTTGACTCTGACATATGTGCCCTAGACCCACGTCAATTTGCATACCGCCCCAACAGATCCACAGATTATGCAATCTCTATTGCACTCCACACTAACCTTTCCCACCTGGACAAGAGGAACACCTACGTGAGAATGCTATTCATTGACTACAGCTCAGCGTTCAACACCATAGTGCCCTCAAAGCTCATCTCTAAGCTAAGGACCCTGGGACTAAACACCTCCCTCTACAACTGGATCCTGGACTTCCTGACGGGCCGCCCACAGGTGGTAAGGGTAGGTAACAACACATCTGCCACGCTGATCCTCAACACGGGGGCTCCTCAGGGGTACGTGCTCAGTCCCTCCTGTACTCCCTGTTCACCCATGACTGCATGGCCAGGCACGACTCCAACACCATCATTAAGTTTGCTGACGACACAACAGTGGTAGGCCTGATCACCGACAACGATGAGACAGCCTATAGGGAGGAGGTCAGAGACCTGGCCGTGTGGTGCCAGGACAACAACCTCTCCTCAACGTGATCAAGACAAAGGAGATGATTGTGGAAAAAAGAGGACTGTAGTGTCCACATCACCAACAAACTATCATTGTCCAAACACACCAAGTCAGTCGTGAAGAGGGCACGACAAAGCCTATTCCCCCTCAGGAGACTGAAAAGATTTGGCATGGGTCCTCAGATCTTCAAAAAGTTCTACAGCTGCACCATCGAGAGCATCCTGACTGGTTGCATCACAGCCTGGTATGGCAACTGCTCGGCCTCTGACCCCAAGGCACTACAGAGGGTAATGCGTACAGCCCAGTACATCACTGGGGCCAAGCTTCCTGCCATCCAGGACCTCTATACCAGGCGGTGTCATAGAAAGGCCCTCAAAATTGTCAAAGACTCCAGCCACCCTAGTCATAGACTGTTGTCTCTGCTACCGCACGGCAAGTGGTACCGGAGCGCCAAGTCTAGGTCCAAAAGACTTCTCAACAGCTTCTACCCCCAAGCCATAAGACTCCTGAACAGCTAATCATGGCTACCCGGACTATTTGCACTGCCCCCCCACCCCCACCCCCCTCTTTTACTCTGCTGCTACTCTGTTTATTATTTATGCATAGTCACTTTAACTCTACCCACATGTACATATTACCTCAACTACCTCAACTAGCCGGTGCCCCCGCACATTGACTCTGCACCGGTACCCCCCTGTATATAGCCTCCCTACTGTTATTTCCCATTGACTCTGCACCGGTACCCCCCTGTATATAGCCTCCCTACTGTTATTTCCCATTGACTCTGCACCGGTACCCCCCTGTATATATAGCCTCCCTACTGTTATTACACATTGACTCTGCACCGGTACCCCCCTGTATATAGTCTCCCTACTGTTATTTCCCATTGACTCTGCACCGGTACCCCCCTGTATATATAGCCTCCCTACTGTTATTTCCCATTGACTCTGCACCGGTACCCCCCTGTATATAGCCTCCCTACTGTTATTTCCCATTGACTCTGCACCGGTACCCCCCTGTATATATAGCCTCCCTACTGTTATTTCCCATTGACTCTGCACCGGTACCCCCCTGTATATAGCCTCCCTACTGTTATTTCCCATTGACTCTGCACCGGTACCCCCCTGTATATAGCCTCCCTACTGTTATTTCCCATTGACTCTGCACCGGTACCCCCCTGTATATAGCCTCCCTACTGTTATTTCCCATTGACTCTGCACCGGTACCCCCCTGTATATATAGCCTCCCTACTGTTATTACACATTGACTCTGCACCGGTACCCCCCTGTATATAGCCTCCCTACTGTTATTTTATTTTACTTCTGCTCTCTAGTTATCTGCTTTTCTCTTTTTTTACTTAACACTTAAAAAAAATATATGCATTGTTGGTTAAGGGCTGTAAGTAAGCATTTCACTGTAATGTTGTATTCGGAGCATGTGGCAAATAAAATTTGATTTGATTTGACAAAGCAAAAACAGGTTTTTAGAAATGTTCTCAAATGTATACAAAATTAAAAACTGAAATATCACATTTGCATAAGTATTCAGACCCTTTCCTCAGTACTTTGTTGAAGCACCTTTGGCAGCGATTACAGCCTTGAGTCTTCTTGGGTATGACGCTACAAGCTTGGCACACCTGTATTTGGGGATTTCTCGCATTCTTCTCTGCAGATCCTCTCAAACTCTGTCAGGTTGGATGGGGAGCATCGCTGCACAGCTATTTTCATGTCTCTCCAGAGATGTTCGATCTGGTTCAAGTCCGGCTCTGGCTGGGCCACTCAAGGACATTCAGAGACTTGTCCCGAAGCCACTTCTGCGTTGTCTTGGCTGTGTGCTTAGGGTCGTTGTCCTGTTGGAAGGTGAACCTTTGCCCCAGTCTGAGGTCCTGAGTGCTCTGTAGCAGATTTTTATTAAGGATCTCTCTGTAATTTGCTCCTTTCATCTTTCCCTCGATCCTGACGTCTCCCAGTCCCTGCCGCTGAAAAACATCCCCACAGCATGATGCTTCCACCACCATGCTTCACCGTAGGGATGGTGCCAGGTTAACCAACACCTCCCTGACCAAGGCCCTTCTCCCCCGATTGCTCAGTTTGGCCGGGTGGCCAGCTCTAGGAAGAGTCTTGGTGGTTCCAAACTTCTTCAATTTAAGAATGATGGAAGCCACTGTGTTCTTGGGGACCTTCAATGCTGCAGACATATTTTGGTACCCTTCCCCAGATCAGTGCCTCGACACAATCCTGTCTCTGAGCTCTACGGACAATTCCTTCAACCTCATAGCTTGGTTTTTGCTCTGACATGCACTGTCAACTGTAGGACCGTATATAGACAGGTGTGTGCCTTTCCAAATCATGTCCAATCAATTGAATTTACCACATATGGACTCCAATCAAGTTCTAGAAACATCTCAAGGATGATCAATGGAAACAGGACGCACCTGAGCTCAATTTCGAGTCTCATAGCAAAGGGTCTGAATACTTATGTAAATAAGGTATTTCTGTTTTTAATTTTTAATACATTAGCAAACATTTTTAAAACCTGTTTTCGCTTTGTCATCAGGGGTATTGATGAGGAAAACATTTTATTTAATCCATTTTAGAATAAGGCTGTAACTTAACAAAATGTGGAAAAAGTCAAGGGGTCTGAATACTTTCCGAATGCACTGTAGCGTGTGACTTATTCTATTCATATATTTTCTCAAGTATGCACTACAGTTACAAACCACAAAGATTAAAGTGGAGACCAGTAATTGTGTTTTTCTGTGTGAAAAACAGCTGTGGGTTGTGAGACTGACATTGTCTGCGTCTCTGTGAGGGGGGCAGGTGTGCCCTCTGGAAGCGTTCGGTAGCATCCTGGACTCTCTGTTTACGTTGTTGTAGGATGTTGTCCCTCAGCCTCTGCTCCTGGACGTCCCACTGCTTCCTCCTCTCCTCCAGAACCCTGTATGGGGAACACAGAGAATACATTACAGACTGGTCCCAGATCTGTTTAACCAACTCCTCTCCTCCAGAACCCTGTATGGGGAACACAGAGAATCCATTACAGACTGGTCCCAGATCTGTTTAACCAACTCCTCTCCTCCAGAACCCTGTATGGAGAACACAGATAATACATTACAGACTGGTCCCAGATCTGTTTAACCAACTCCTCTCCTCCAGAACCCTGTATGGAGAACACAGATAATACATTACAGACTGGTCCCAGATCTGTTTAACCAACTCCTCTCCTCCAGAACCCTGCATGGGGAACACAGAGAATACATTACAGACTGGTCCCAGATCTGTTTAATCAACCCTTCTCTTATTATCATTGTCATAACGAGAATATATAGACTGGTCCCAGATCTGTACTTTAGCCAACACCTCTGACTAGCATTAGCAAATAGGATTTAGCCTGGTCCCAGTTCCATCAAGATTGATTATAGTGATCTTTTTAAGCCCCACAGGAAACTGAGTCCATTCCTTTAAGGTCCATTCTCAGCAGTCATTAAATAGTTAAAGGAACCACTCCTGTGACAACTGGTTGGTTTAGAGATGGAAAAGGAGAAGAACATATCAGGCTTCTCACAACAGACACTTTTATCTAAAGCGACTGACAGTCATGTGTGGATGCATATGTGTGGGTGGCCCCAGCGAGAATCGAACCCACAACCTTTGGCGTTGCGAGCGCCATGCTCTACCGACTGAGCCACACAGGATCACAACAAAAGTGGTCACATGGGCACCTTGGTTTATGGCAACAAAAAAAAACAATATGATGATTTCTCCCAGGAAGACTTCGCTTGGCTAGTCTGTAAATGTTCCTTCTATAGAAGTCAAAGAACGAATGAAGTAGGTTAATGTTCATTAATCTCTCTCTCACACACACACACACGCACACGCACACACGCACGCGGAGTGACTCTATAACACCTCATCAGGTAGTGTTGTCCTTAGAAACCCTGACGCTGACTCAATCCTCCTCCTGTCCTGTCAGTGGTTTCTGGAGCTCTCCACATTTAGCCTGGAAGGGTAGAAGTCAGGGATTTGTACGGTGTGCATGTGTGTTGTCATGTTGTCACTGTACCTCCCCTCTGGCCCTGTGGTTGACACTCCCAGCGTCACCACTCCAGTAGTCTAGCCAGACCTTAGTGTCACCACTCCAGTAGTCTATACAGACCTTACAGCGTCACCACTCCAGTAGTCTAGCCAGACCTTAGTGTCACCACTCCAGTAGTCTAGCCAGACCTTACAGCGTCACCACTCCAGTAGTCTAGCCAGACCTTACAGCGTCACCACTCCAGTAGTCTAAGCCAGACCTTACAGCGTCACCACTCCAGTAGTCTAGCCAGACTTTACAGCGTCACCACTCCAGTAGTCTAAGCCAGACCTTACAGCGTCACCACTCCAGTAGTCTAGCCAGACCTTACAGCATCACCACTCCAGTAGTCTAGCCAGACCTTACAGCGTCACCACTCCAGTAGTCTAGCCAGACCTTACAGCGTCACCACTCCAGTAGTCTAAGCCAGACCTTACAGCGTCACCACTCCAGTAGTCTAGCCAGACCTTACAGCGTCACCACTCCAGTAGTCTAAGCCAGACCTTACAGCGTCACCACTCCAGTAGTCTAGCCAGACCTTACAGCGTCACCACTCCAGTAGTCTAAGCCAGACCTTACAGCGTCACCACTCCAGTAGTCTAGCCAGACCTTACAGCGTCACCACTCCAGTAGTCTAAGCCAGACCTTACAGCGTCACCACTCCAGTAGTCTAGCCAGACCTTACAGCGTCACCACTCCAGTAGTCTAGCCAGACCTTACAGCGTCACCACTCCAGTAGTCTAGCCAGACCTTACAGCGTCACCACTCCAGTAGTCTAAGCCAGACCTTACAGCGTCACCACTCCAGTAGTCTAGCCAGACCTTACAGCGTCACCACTCCAGTAGTCTAGCCAGACCTTACAGCGTCACCACTCCAGTAGTCTAAGCCAGACCTTACAGCGTCACCACTCCAGTAGTCTATACAGACCTTACAGCGTCACCACTCCAGTAGTCTAGCCAGACCTTACAGCATCACCACTCCAGTAGTCTAGCCAGACCTTACAGCGTCACCACTCCAGTAGTCTATACAGACCTTACAGCGTCACCACTCCAGTAGTCTAGCCAGACCTTACAGCGTCACCACTCCAGTAGTCTAGCCAGACCTTACAGCGTCACCACTCCAGTAGTCTAGCCAGACCTTACAGCATCACCACTCCAGTAGTCTAGCCAGACCTTACAGCGTCACCACTCCAGTAGTCTATACAGACCTTACAGCGTCACCACTCCAGTAGTCTAGCCAGACCTTACAGCGTCACCACTCCAGTAGTCTAGCCAGACCAGCCCTGACTTGCAGTTGGCTCATTACCAGGAGGTCTATTTCAAGACAGGATAAAATCCTGCTGACAACGACGACAGCACATTGTTGAATAACTGGATCTGTCCTCCTCTAGTTAGCTTTACCCAAAAAGAACAACATTTACACCATTATATAGATCCATTAGTAGTGCACTAAATAGGGCAGAAACATTAGTTGTACTTGGACAGAGAGATGGACTGGAGGCATACGCTAGTAGAAGGAGGGTGCTAATTAGGTGGTCCAGGCCAAGGGACACTTTAGAACATGGGACATCTACCTCATTACCTTGTTGGCTTTTAGTTAGACTATGCTTTGAGATATGGCCTACGGTTGTTAGGTTATAGCCTGGTCTCAGATCAGTTTGTGCTGTCTTGTCAACTCATATGGTCATTGTCATGCCACGTGACAATGACCATAGAGGCTATGATTTAAGCTTAAAAAAACGTAGGTATAGAAACTTACTTCCGTCTTCGGTTGGTCTCCAGGGAGAAGCAGCGAGCCCGGGCCCTGCATGACTTCTGCTCCTCCACCAGGACATGTCGGTCATCTTCAGACACCCCGTCGGCTCCTATCCTGCTGGTTCTGACATCAGGCCCGGTTAAGGTGTTTATGCTGATTGTGTCATTATAGGTACAACTCATACAATAGAACAAAGATGTACATGCCTACTTTCATATGCAAAAAAATGCATCCGCCCTACTTTTTGGCATGCAACAACAGCAGCACCTATTCCAACTCCTCTTCTGTTAAGCCTAGCTTCAGCTTAAACGCAATGTTTTATGTAGGCTAGGCCTAGTTGCAGAACAAAAATGTCAAAGTAGAATATTTATAGTCAGAATCATGTGAATTAATTCCAACCCAATTAGACCTATTTAGCTAGTGTACAAAGAAAAAACATGAACAGAGTATCAATCTACCTGTCTGCCTGGCAGTCTGTCTGTCCAAAAATATAACCATTAGGATCTAAACTAGCCATCTAGCCAGCTTATTTGCTGTAGGTAACGGATACAAAACACACTACCTAAGGTTACGTTTCCCACTGATCTAACGTTAGCTAAGCTAGGCTATATTAGCAACGCCAATGTTGTGCAAGGTATACGAGTAGAAGAAGTTGTCCTTCAGAGCTTGCATTTTAGGAAGCTGCCGACAAGCTTACCAATAACACCCACAGTCTTCATCCGACAAGTTCGGGATTTGACTCCGACAAAAAACAGACAGAGATTCTAGCTAACAGTGACCCAGCTATCTTAACGTTAAGGTCCCAGTCACTGCTTTCCCGTTCATTTCGCCGCATGCAATATCGAATCCGAATGGCAACTTCTTCAGTTATCCCCCCACCAGGAAACAAGGATCCACAGCTGAGCTTTTAATTAAGCAAGTCAATAAAGCAAGTTAGCGTTTTTGTAGCTGAATGTATTTCTACAGCTGAGTCTGAGTCTGTGTACAACAGCCCACGCCACGTTGGCAACCGAGGACGCGCTTCCTTGACAACGGAAAGGAATATAAAAGGTTGGGGTTTCTGCGCGCATACAGGAGCTGGCCAGCAGGCGGCGCCTCTTTTAAAGTGTTCAAATGTAGTCAGGCTACTTAATAATAATAATAATAATAATAATAATGATATAATAATAATAATAATAATAATGATATAATAATAATAATAATAATAATGATAATGATAATGATATAATAATGATATAATAATAATAATAATAATAATAATAATAATAATAATGTTATAATAATAATAATAAAATAATAATGATAATGATAATGATAATAATGATATAATAATAATGATATAAAAATAAAAAAATAAAAAATATAAAAATAATAATAATGATATAATAAAATAATAATAATAATAACAATAATAATATAATAATAATAATAACATAATAATAAAATATTAATAATAATATAATAATAATAATAATAATAATAATAATAATAATAATAATAATATAATGCCATTTAGTAGACGCTTTTATCCAAAGCGACTTACAGTCATGCGTGCATAATTTTTTTTTGTGTGTATGGGTGGTCCCGGGGATCGAACCCACTACCCTTGGCGTTACAAGCGCCGTGCTCTACCAGCTGAGCTACGGAGGACCTGTTGAAGATGGAGTGACGCACAGCTCTCTGATGCCTGCTGTGTTTCGCTAACACCACCGGGACACTTAAACACCAGCTCCCTGCCCCACACACTTACTCACACACTCAGTGTCATGCATTTTTTTAAAACTCTGCAGCCAGTGCACGTGGATATCAGAGTCTAGTTTTAACCTGATATTCCAATAAGCATGATTCAACCAATGTTGAACCCATATAATGGTTGATCCAACCTATGGACCTAATCAACTAAACTGCACATAAAAGATTTTATACACAAAATTGTCAAATGCACATCAATCCCATCCATATTGCTATTGAAACCAGTTTGCTAATATTAAGGGTGGTTTTATTGTTATCCTACCATCAGCTAGAATGGCGCTGGCATGTATAGCAGCCGTTTTATGGGCTCATGACCAATTATGCTACTTTGTGTGTTTTTTTGCTCTGATCTTAAAGCTGCAATATGTCACTTTTTGGGTGACGACCAAATTCACATAGAAATGTGTGTTATAGATCTGCCACTCATTCAAAGCCAGTCTAAGAAGCTGTAGATCTGTTCTATGTGTGCTATTTTTATGCTTTTCGTTCTTAAGTTTAGTTTTTTGTGCTTTTACTTACGGTTTTGTTTTTCAGCTTCAAACAGCTCTAAGGGTTAAATATAATATTTCAGGTTATTTAAAATATATTTCACAGCGGTTTAGATGGTACAATGATTCTCCACACTATACATTGCTTGTTTTGTCACATAAACAGACATTTTACATTTTATAATAATAATAATATAATATAATATAATAATATTTTTAATTAAATAGCAAACTATTCGAATTTTAGCAACCAGGAAATGGCGGAGCGATTTCTGCATATTGCACCTTTAACTGTCTTTGTACATAATGTTTCCGCCATCGTTTCCTATGACCGAAAAGAGCTTCTGGACATCAGAACAGCGATCACTAACCTCGATTTTTGATGAAGAATTATGGTTCAACGAGTCGGGACCAGGCCCTAATCCCCGACACCAGAAGAGGAAAAGCTGCGATACAGAGGCCGACGTGGGGGCAGCCTGATGAAACTACAGAGATATAGAGGTCAACGTGGGGGCAGCCTGATGAAACTACAGAGATATAGAGGTCAACGTGGGGGCAGCCTGATGAAACTACAGAGATATAGAGGCTGACGTGGGGGCAGCCTGATGAAACTACAGAGATATAGAGGTCAACGTGGGGGCAGCCTGATGAAACTACAGAGATATAGAGGTCAACGTGGGGGCAGCCTGATGAAACTACAGAGATATAGCGGCCAACGTGGGGGCAGGCTGATGAAACTACAGAGATATAGAGGCCGACGTGGGGCAGCCTGATGAAACTACAGAGATATAGAGGTCAACGTGGGGGCAGCCTGATGAAACTACAGAGATATAGAGGCTGACGTGGGGGCAGCCTGATGAAACTACAGAGATATAGAGGCTGACGTGGGGGCAGCCTGATGAAACTACAGAGATATAGAGGCCGACGTGGGGGCAGCCTGATGAAACTACAGAGATATAGAGGTCAACGTGGGGGCAGCCTGATGAAACTTCAGAGATATAGAGGCCAACGTGGGGGCAGCCTGATGAAACTACAGAGATATAGAGGTCAACGTGGGGGCAGCCTGATGAAACTACAGAGATATAGAGGCTGACGTGGGGGCAGCCTGATGAAACTACAGAGATATAGAGGTCAACGTGGGGGCAGCCTGATGAAACTACAGAGATATAGTGGCCAACGTGGGGGCAGCCTGATGAAACTACAGAGATATAGAGGTCAACGTGGGGGCAGCCTGATGAAACTACAGAGATATAGAGGCCAACGTGGGGGCAGCCTGATGAAACTACAGAGATATAGAGGTCAACGTGGGGGCAGCCTGATGAAACTACAGAGATATAGAGGCTGACGTGGGGGCAGCCTGATGAAACTACAGAGATATAGAGGTCAACGTGGGGGCAGCCTGATGAAACTACAGAGATATAGAGGCTGACGTGGGGGCAGCCTGATGAAACTACAGAGATATAGAGGTCAACGTGGGGGCAGCCTGATGAAACTACAGAGATATAGAGGCCAACGTGGGGGCAGCCTGATGAAACTACAGAGATATAGAGGCCAACGTGGGGGCAGCCTGATTAAACTACAGAGATATAGAGGTCAACGTGGGGGCAGCCTGATGAAACTACAGAGATATAGAGGCTGACATGGGGGCAGCCTGATGAAACTACAGAGATATAGAGGTCAACGTGGGGGCAGCCTGATGAAACTACAGAGATATAGAGGCTGACGTGGGGGCAGCCTGATGAAACTACAGAGATATAGAGGCCAACGTGGGGGCAGCCTGATGAAACTACAGAGATATAGAGGCCAACGTGGGGGCAGCCTGATGAAACTACAGAGATATAGAGGCTGACGTGGGGGCAGCCTGATGAAACTACAGAGATATAGAGGCTGACGTGGGGGCAGCCTGATGAAACTACAGAGATATAGAGGCTGACGTGGGGGCAGCCTGATGAAACTACAGAGATATAGAGGCTGACGTGGGGGCAGCCTGATGAAACTACAGAGGAGAGTAAATCAACCCTCTCTAACCTCTCTTCTACTGGTGAATGTACAATCACTGGAGAACAAACAGGATGAGCTCCGTTCCAGACTATTCTATCAACGGGACCTGAAGAACTGTGATATCCTATGCTTCACGGGGTCATGGCTTAAATGAGAACATGGTTAATATAAATCTAGCTGGTTTTTCTATGCATCGGCAGGACAGAACAGCAGCGTCTTGTAAACTCAAGGGCGGGGTTGTGTGTCTCTTTGTTAACAACAGCTTGGTTAATCAAATCTCCCCATTCCGGCTCAATTTGGCACGCCTTCTCAAACAGCTACAACTGTATCCAGTATTCACACATCAAGTCTTCTCTTGAGTTGTGCTCAGGGATGGAACAACTGTTGAACATCTGAGCTTGTGGTTGAGTGAGTGAGGGAGGGAGGGAGGGAGGGAGGGAGGGGGGAGTGAGGGAGGGAGGGAGGGAGGGAGTGTGTGTGTGTGGGGGGGGTGTAGGTCAGTCTAGAGGTGGAAGGGGAGAGAGGGGTAGATGTGTTTGTGGGGGAGGGGTGTGGAGAATGCATGTATGCATCCCACATCTGTTGCTATGGGGTAATGATGTTAGGGACAGTATAGGATGAATCACAGTAATTGCCAGTCCTGGTTATACAAACCTTCGTACGGAATGCCTACATTATTACTCATATTATTAGTCAATTGTGGAAATAAATTAAGATCTGCTAGATTTTTTCATATATATATATATTTTTTAATAACTATATACGATACAACCAAGGCGAAGGCGTTGGAAATGCTTTTGGCTGTTAATCTGCTTCTGTTCTGTAGGTGTCCAAGCTCTTCTCTGTCCTGGCACCCCAATGGTGGAACCAGCTTCCCCCTGAAGCTCTTCTCTGTCCTGGCACCCCAATGGTGGAACCAGCTTCCCCCTGAAGCTCTTCTCTGTCCTGGCACCCCAATGGTGGAACCAGCTTCCCCCTGAAGCTCTTCTCTGTCCTGGCACCCCAATGGTGGAACCAGCTTCCCCCTGAAGCTCTTCTCTGTCCTGGCACCCCAATGGTGGAACCAGCTTCCCCCTGAAGCTAGGACAGCAGAGTCCCTGCCCATCTTCCGAAAACATCTGAAACCCTTCCTCTTCAAACAGTATCTTAAATAATCCTCCTCCTCACCTCGACCCCCCGCCCCCCCCAAAAAATAATAAATAATTGATTAACCAGCACTTGCAATATATACATATGTAATTATCATGAAATAATCATGTAATTTTCATGTAATTATCATGTAATTATGTAATTATCGTGTAATTATAATGTAATTCTTCCTTATTATTTACTAAGTATTATCAAACTTCATCCAGATATTATATTGTTGATGTGTTTGGAGTACAGAATTACTAGTTAGCTTATATTCTACGAACAATAACACTAGTTTTCCTGTATGGGTTATAGACAAGACAGGAGGAAGTGATGCTCTATGTAATATGGGTTATAGCCAAGACAGGAGGAAGTGATGCTCTATGTAATATGGGTTATAGCCAAGACAGGAGGAAGTGATGCTCTATGTAATATGGGTTATAGCCAAGACAGGAGGAAGTGATGCTCTATGTAATATGGGTTATAGCCAAGACAGGAGGAAGTGATGCTCTATGTCATATGGGTTATAGCCAAGACAGGAGGAAGTGATGCTCTATGTAATATGGGTTATAACCAAGACAGGAGGAAGTGGTGCTCTATGTAATATGGGTTATAACCAAGACAGGAGGAAGTGATGCTCTATGTAATATGGGTTATAGACAAGACAGGAGGAAGTGATGCTCTATGTAATATGGGTTATAGCCAAGACAGGAGGAAGTGATGCTCTATGTAATATGGGTTATAACCAAGACAGGAGGAAGTGATGCTCTATGTAATATGGGTTATAACCAAGACAGGAGAAGTGATGCTCTATGTAATATGGGTTATAGCCAAGACAGGAGGAAGTGATGCTCTATGTAATATGGGTTATAGCCAAGACAGGAGGAAGTGATGCTCTATGTAATATGGGTTATAGCCAGACAGGAGGAAGTGATGCTCTATGTAATATGGTTATAGCCAAGACAGGAGGAAGTGATGCTCTATGTAATATGGGTTATAGCCAAGACAGGAGGAAGTGGTGCTCTATGTAATATGGGTTATAGCCAAGACAGGAGGAAGTGATGCTCTATGTAATATGGGTTATAGCCAAGACAGGAGGAAGTGATGCTCTATGTAATATGGGTTATAGCCAAGACAGGAGGAAGTGATGCTCTATGTAATATGGGTTATAACCAAGACAGGAGGAAGTGATGGCTGGTTAGAACACAGACCTGGTTCTAATTTCAGTGGTGCTCACGAGGACCCTCATAACAACTGAAATGTAGATGTGGCCCCCCTCAAACATATTGTAACATTGGGAACCCTCAGTAGTCAATGTGTGATAGGACCCTGAGCGCAGGAGTAGACTATAACGAACATGGGCTTTCTGTACATTGTAATAATTTATTTTCCATTCCATTGTTTGCTCAGCTTGTAATTGTAGTTGGTTATGTAAGCATCATCAGAACAGGCATTACATTTTTTAATTTTTTAATTTTAATTTTAATTGTACCTTTATTTAACTAGGCAAGTCAGTTAAGAACAATGTGTCGTCCGGGTTTGGCCGGTGTTTGGCCGTCATGGTAAATAAGAATTTGTTCTTAATTGACTTGTTAAATAAAGGTTAAATAATAATAAAATAATAATAATAATTCCCTTGTCACAACGTTGTCCACTGTTAAGCCATGACCAGGTGGGTGAGAGGAAGAATAACATGAAACAGAAAAATATGTCGTAAATCTCCTTCAGTGTTCCTGTAACTTGTATTATGTGGGTAAGACCAAACGTGAACTTAAGACAAGGACATGTGACCATAAGAGCTCCATTCACAACCATGATGAAAAAAATCACCTGTTGCCAGGCATTTCAACAGCCGTAATCAATGATGTAAAATCACCTGTTGCCAGGCATTTCAACAGCCGTAATCAATGATGTAAAATCACCTGTTGCCAGGCATTTCAACAGCCGTAATCAATGATGTAAAATCACCTGTTGCCAGGCATTTCAACAGCCGTAATCAATGATGTAAAATCACCTGTTGCCAGGTATTTCAACAGCCGTAATCAATGATGTAAAATCACCTGTTGCCAGGTATTTCAACAGCCGTAATCATGATGTAAAATCACCTGTTGCCAGGCATTTCAACAGCCATAATCATGATGTAAAATCACCTGTTGCTAGGTATTTCAACAGCCGTAATCAATGATGTAAAATCACCTGTTGCCAGGCATTTCAACAGCCGTAATCATGATGTAAAATCACCTGTTGCCAGGCAACAGCCGTAATCATGAACTAAGACCGCTTGGTCACTCATGCACCTGCAGGCCTTAATGAGGAATGGTATTTTTATTGTTGTTTTTTGCAGTAGGTTCTAAATAGGCCAAACATTTAGGGAATGACATCATAATGTACTGTATTGTGTGTCTACCTTTATTTGATTGTCATACATACGACGTCGTCGTCGTTGGGTGAGGTTGTGTCTCTCTCTGGCGGGAGGTAAGCTTGGCTTATATGGCTTATATACATAGTTTAAGCTTTGTCGAGTCTAAAAGCTTAAAACTATGTATTTAATTGTAGATTGTAGTTAGGTATTGTTGTAGGAAGTTATCGTGGGTGTTGTATGTATTATTGTAGGGTTAGTATTGTTGTATTCGGCTGAGCCGGTGAAGCACGAAGCTAGCTAACCCACTACCTGGACTAGCTGGCGGGTAGCTACTGGTAACTATTAGCAACTGTGGATAGTTGTTTCACGCCTGAGAGTACCTGTAATTATGCCAGCTAGCTGCCTACAATAATTACATACAATAATGCCTACCATTCAGCCGTTTTTCTAACCTCATTGTCTGACGCGTTAACGTTAGGTAGTAAGTAGCTACTGTGCTCGAAATGTAGCTAGCTAGTTGCTACCTGGATAGCTACTAAACAATAGCTGGAACGACCTACTGAACAGACGCGAACTGGCTGAGTCGATTCAGTGGCTAGCTTTGCACTTGGCTAGCTAACAGTAGCTGCTAGGTGTAAGTTATAACCTACATTTGTGTTTTGTTTTTACATACTGGTAGCCAGAGTCGTTCAAGGGAATTCGGGACATGGGTGACTAGTTAACGTTAGCTTGGCTCTCTCTGTGTGTTCGTGCTGTGGGAGGAGGGGTTTCTTCGTTGGCAGAAAGCAATGGCTAGCTAGTATGCTAACTATTCTAGCTACAGTAACTAACTGGCTGAATAAGTTGACGACGGACTCGCTCAAGCTGTCGGGACTAACCCACAACGTTAGACACGGACACGAATGATCTGCTTGGCGTGTTGACACACTTGTGGTTTGTTGTGGCCGAGTATTGGTGCTAAACCGTGTTGTTGGAGGCCGGCATGCTAGTTGGCTGTGGCGTCATATGACTAGGTGCCCTGGACGGTTTTCACTGTACCAAGTTAGCTAGCTGAATAAACTAAATTAGTCTATTCCTAGAAAACATTGAACCACTGTAGTTTACAACAACTATAGTTTCTGAGGTGGAAGTTGGGAGAGTTATATTTGGGTGTTGTGGTGAGGGAGGCCCTGCTCTCGCCTTTCCCAGATGTTTAGTTAATTTCATTCCGATCTCCTTTGCATTATTGTAGCCATTTTCTGTAGCCTGTCAACTATGCCTCTGTCTATCCCTGTTCTCTCCTCTCCGCACAGGCTATGCAAATGCCTCACACCACGTGGCTGCTGCCTCTCTAACCTGGTGGTCCCTGCACGCACGACCCACATGGAGTTCCAGGTCTCCGGCAGCCTCTGGAACTGCCGTTCTGCGGCCAACAAGGCAGAGTTCATCTCAGCCTATGCTACCCTCCAGTCCCTCGACTTCTTGGCGCTGACGGAAACATGGATTACCACTGAAAACACTGCTACTTCTACTGCTCTCTCCTCGTCTGACCATGTGTTCTCGCATACCCGAGAGCATCTGGTCAGCGGGGTAGTGGCACAGGAATCCTCATCTCTCCCAAGTGGACATTCTCTCTTTTTCCCCTGACCCATCTGTCTATCTCCTCATTTGAATTCCATGCTGTCAGAGTCACTAGCCCATTCAAGCTTAACATCCTTGTCATTTATCGCCCTCCAGGTTCCCTTGGAGAGTTCATTGATGAGCTTGACGCCTTGATAAATTCCTTTCCTGAGGATGGCTCACCCCTCACAGTTCTGGGTGACTTCAACCTCCCTACATCTACCTTTGACTAATTTCTCTCTGCCTCCTTCTTTCCACTCCTCTCCTCTTTTGACCTCACCCTCTCACCGTCCCCCCCTACTCACAAGGCAGGCAATACGCTTGACCTCATCTTTACTAGATGCTGTTCTTCTACTAATCTCACTAAAACTCCCCTCAAAGTCTCTGACCACTACTTTGTATCATTTTCTCTCTCGCTCTCCTCCAACAATACTCACTCTGCCCCTACTCAGATGGTAATGCGCCGTCGCAACCTTCGCTCTCTCTCTCTCCCGCTACTCTCTCCTCTTCCATCCTATCATCTCTTCCCTCTGCTCAAGCCTTCTCCCTCCAATCTCCTGATTCTGCCTCCTCAACTCTCCTCTCCTCCCTTTCTGCATCCTTTGACTCTCTATGTCCCCTATCCTCCCGGCCGGCTCGGTCCTCCCCTCCTGCTCTGTGGCTTGACGACTCATTGCGAGCTCACAGAACAGGGCTCCGGGCAGCCGAGTGGAAATGGAGGAAACTAGACTCCCTGCGGACCTGGCATCTTTTCACTCCCTCCTCTCTACATTTTCTTCATCTGTTTCTGCTGCTAAAGCCACTTTCTATCCCTCTAAATTCCAAGCATCTGCCTCTAACCCTAGGAAGCTCTTTGCCACCTTATCCTCCCTGCTGAATCCTCCTCCCCCTCCCCCCCCTTCCTCCCTCTCTGTGGATGACTTCGTCAACCATTTTGAAAAGAAGGTTGACGACATCTGATCCTCGTTTGTTAAGTCAAATGACACTGCTGGTCCTGCTCACACTGCCCTACCCTATGCTTTGACTTATTTCTCCCCTCTCTCTCCAGATGAAATCTTGCGACTTGTGACGGCCGGCCGCCCAACAACCTGCCCGCTTGACCCTATCCCCTCCTCTCTTCTCCAGACCATCTCCGGTGACCTTCTCCCTTACCTCACCTCACTCATCAACTCATCCTTGACCGCTGGCTATGTCCCTTCCGTCTTCAAGAGAGCGAGAGTTGATCCCCTTCTCAAAAAACCAACACTCGATCCCTCTGATGTCAACAACTACAGACCAGTATCCCTTCTTTCTTTTCTCTCCAAAACTCTTGAGCGTGCCGTCTTTAGCCAACTCTCTTGCTATCTCTCTCAGAATGACCTTCTTGATCCAAACCAGTCAGGTTTCAGGACTGGTCATTCAACTGATACTGCTCTTCTCTGTGTCACGGAGGCTCTCCGCACTGCTAAAGCTAACTCTCTCTCCTCTGCTCTTGTCCTTCTAGACCTGTCTGCTGCCTTTGATACTGTGAACCATCAGATCCTCCTCTCCACCCTCTCCGAGTTGGGCATCTCCGGCGCGGCTCACTCTTGGATTGCGTCCTACCTGACCGGTCGCTCCTACCAAGTGGCGTGGCGAGAATCTGTCTCCGCACCATGTGCTCTCACCACTGGTGTCCCCAGGGCTCAGTTCTAAGCCCTCTCCTATTCTCGCTATACACCAAGTCACTTGGCTCTTTCATATCCTCACATGGCCTCCTATCATTGCTACGCAGACGACACACAACTAATCTTCTCCTTTCCGTCTTCTGATAACCAGGTGGCGAATCGCATCTCTGCATATCTGGCAGACATATCAGTGTGGATGACGGATCACCACCTCAAGCTGAATCTCGGCAAGACGGAGCTGCTCTTCCTCCCAGGGAAGGACTGCCTGTTCCATGATCTCGCCATCACGGTTGACAACTCCATTGTGTCCTCCTCCCAGAGTGCAAAGAGCCTTGGCGTGACCCTGGACAACACCCTGTCGGTCTCCGCTAACATCAAGGCGGTGACCCGATCCTGTAGGTTCATGGTCTACAACATTCGGAGAGTACGACCCTGCCTTACACAGGAAGCGGCACAGGTCCTAATCCAGGCACTTGTCATCTCCCGTCTGGATTACAGCAACTCGCTGTTGGCTGGGCTCCCTGCCTGTGCCATTAAACCCCTACAACTCATCCAGAATGCCGCAGCCCGTCTGGTGTTCAACCTTCCCAAGTTCTCTCACGTCACCCCGCTCCTCCGCACACTCCACTGGCTTCCAGTTGAAGCTTGCATCTGCTACAAGACCATGGTGCTTGCCTACGGAGCTGTGAGGGGAACGGCACCTCCGTACCTTCAGGCTCTGATCAGTCCCTACACCCAAACGAGGGCATTGCGTTCATCCACCTCTGGCCTGCTGGCCCCCCTACCTCTGCGGAAGCACAATTCCCGCTCAGCCCAGTCAAAACTGTTCGCTGCTCTGGCACCCCAATGGTGGAACAAGCTCCCTCACGACGCAAGGACAGTGGAGTCACTCACCACCTTCCGGAGAAACTTGAAACCCCACCTCTTTAAGGAATACCTGGGATAGGATAAAGTAATCCTTCTCCCCCCCCTTACCCCACCCCAAAGAAAAGAAAAAAAAAAAACATATTGTAAAGTGGTTATCCCACTGTCTATAAGGTGAATGCACCAATTTGTAAGTCGCTCTGGATAAGAGCGTCTGCTAAATGACGTAAATGTAAATGTAAAATGTAATGATTCCCCCACAACGCCCTCTGCTGGGATCTCTTGATTGGGCCAATACTGGCTGAGAATGTATAATTATGCCCACCTGCCAATACTGACTGAGAATGTATAATTATGCCCACCTGCCAATACTGGCTGAGAATGTATAATTATGCCCACCTGCCAATACTGACTGAGAATGTATAATTATGCCCACCTGCCAATACTGACTGAGAATGTATAATTATGCCCACCTGCCAATACTGACTGAGAATGTATAATTATGCCCACCTGAGGGGCTCAACATTAACCTGTGAAGTATTGTCGTTGTAACATTGATTGCCATTGCCTTGCACGCTGAAGAAGGGCTCATACCCCAAATGTTCTTGCGGCAATAAAAATGTTTGTTCACGGGAGTGTCCTTTTTCTGTTCTTTGGATGATACACAAGGACCCAACGCCCGATTTAAGTTGATATAAGGTGGAGTGGAGCACGTTGTTTAAGGTGGAGTGGAGCACGTTGTTTAAGGTGGAGTGGAGCACGTTGTTTAAGGTGGAGTGGAGCACGTTGTTTAAGGTGGAGTGGAGCACGTTGTTTAAGGTGGAGTGGAGCACGTTGTTTATCCTTTCAGCTAGTGACGTTAGCCATGAAGCTACCCCCTGATAAGTCGTTAAGCCAACGTGTGCCTTGCCAGGCTGCTTACTATAGCCAAGTGGACGTCAGTAGCTCATCAGATCCACCGTCTGCCCCTTTAACAACTCCAGATCCACCGTCTGCCCCTTTAACAACTCCAGATCCACCGTCTGCCCCTTTAACAACTCCAGATCCACCGTCAGCCCCTTTAACAACTCCAGATCCACCGTCTGCCCCTTTAACAACTCCAGATCCACCGTCTGCCCCTTTAACAACTCCAGATCCACCGTCTGCCCCTTTAACAACTCCAGATCCACCGTCTGCCCCTTTAACAACTCCAGATCCACCGTCAGCCCCTTTAACAACTCCAGATCCACCGTCTGCCCTTTAACAACTCCAGATCCACCGTCAGCCCCTTTAACAACTCCAGATCCACCGTCAGCCCCTTTAACAACTCCAGATCCACCGTCTGCCCCTCCAATAGCTTCAGATCCACCGTCTGCCCATCCAATAGCTTCAGATCCACCGTCAGCCCATCCAACAACTCCAGATCCACCGTCTGCCCCTCCAACAACTCCAGATCCACCGTCTGCCCCTTTAACAACTCCAGATCCACCGTCAGCCCCTTTAACAACTCCAGATCCACCGTCTTCCCCTTTAACAACTCCAGATCCACCGTCAGCCCTTAACAACTCCAGATCCACCGTCAGCCCCTTTAACAACTCCAGATCCACCGTCTGCCCCTTTAACAATCCAGATCCACCGTCAGCCCTTTAACAACTCCAGATCCACCGTCAGCCCCTTTAACAAACTCCAGATCCACCGTCTGCCCTTTAACAACTCCAGATCCACCGTCAGCCCCTTTAACAACTCCAGATCCACCGTCAGCCCCTTTAACAACTCCAGATCCACCGTCAGCCCCTTTAAAACAACGCAGATCCACCGTCAGCCCCTTAACAACTCCAGATCCACCGTCAGCCCCTCCAACAAAACTCAGATCACCGTCAGCCCCTCCAACACTCCAGATCCACCGTCAGCCCCTCCAACAACTCCAGATCCACCGTCAGCCCCTCCAACAACTCAGATCCACCGTCAGCCCTTAACAACTCCAGATCAACCGTCAGCCCCTTTAACAACTCCAGATCCACCATCAGCCCCTTAACAACTCCAGATCCACCGTCAGCCCCTTTAACAACTCCAGATCCACCATCAGCCCCTCCAACAACTCCAGATCCACCGTCAGCCCCTCCAACAACTCCAGATCCACCGTCAGCCCCTCCAACAACTCCAGATCCACCGTCAGCCCCTTTAACAACTCCAGATCCACCGTCAGCCCCTTTAACAACTCCAGATCCACCATCAGCCCCTTTAACAACTCCAGATCCACCGTCAGCCCCTTTAACAACTCCAGATCCACCATCAGCCCCTTTAACAACTCCAGATCCACCGTCAGCCCCTTTAACAACTCCAGATCCACCGTCAGCCCCTTTAACAACTCCAGATCCACCATCAGCCCCTTTAACAACTCCAGATCCACCATCAGCCCCTTTAACAACTCCAGATCCACCGTCAGCCCCTTTAACAACTCCAGATCCACCGTCAGCCCCTTTAACAACTCCAGATCCACCGTCAGCCCCTTTAACAACTCCAGATCCACCGTCAGCCCCTTTAACAACTCCAGATCCACCGTCTGCCCATCCAATAGCTTCAGATCCACCGTCTGCCCCTTTAACAACTCCAGATCCACCGTCAGCCACTTTAACAGCTTCAGATCCACTGTCTGCCCATCCAACAGCTTCAGATCCACTGTCTGCCCATCCAACAGCTTCAGATCCACCGTCTGCCCATCCAATAGCTTCAGATCCACTGTCTGCCCATCCAACAGCTTCAGATCCACTGTCTGCCCATCCAACAGCTTCAGATCCACTGTCTGCCCATCCAACAGCTTCAGATCCACTGTCTGCCCATCCAACAGCTTCAGATCCCCTGTCTGCCCATCCAATAGCTTCATATCGTACTAAGTGCACACAGACAGCAGTAAGCCGTACCACCAGGTTGTAAACAGGAAGTAAAGAGCCTACACAGGTAAATGTTTTGTATGTGGTTCCAAATGAACTAAAGCCATCCCTCGCAAGACACATATAGTCAGCTATAAATGTATGTTATTTCATCATGAAACACACGACATAGACACGGAAAAACTTAACTTCAGATGTGCCCTTGAGCAAGGCACTTAACCCTAATTGCTCTGGATAAGAGCGTCTGCCAAATGACTCAAATGTACATTTGTATTAAGAAATGGCACTTATACAGCCTACTTGTTTGTAAATATCCTTTGATCTTTGATGTTATCAAATCACATTTTATTGGTCACATACACATATTTAGCAGATGTTATTGCGGGTGTAGCAAAATGCTTGTGTTCCTAGCTCCAACAGTGCAGTAGTATCTAACAATTCACAACAACACACACAAACCTAAAAGTTAAAGAATGGAATTAAGATATACCCTGCTCCATGTGACAAGGCATCCCTGCTCTAGTGGACAAGCCAACCCTGCTCCATGGGACAAGGCAACCCTGCTCTAGGGGACAAGCCAACCCTGCTCTAGGGGACAAGGCATCCCTGCTCTAGTGGACAAGCCGACCCTGCTCTAGGGGACAAGCCGACCCTGCTCTAGGGGACAAGCCGACCCTGCTCTAGTGGACAAGCCGACCCTGCTCCATGGGACAAGGCAACCCTGCTCTAGGGGACAAGCCGACCCTGCTCCATGGGACAAGGCATCCCTGCTCTAGTGGACAAGCCAACCCTGCTCTACGGGACAAGGCGACCCTGCTCTAGGGGACAAGCCGACCCTGCTCTAGGGGACAAGCCGACCCTGCTCTAGGGGACAAGGCGACCCTGCTCTAGGGGACAAGCCGACCCTGCTCTAGGGGACAAGCCGACCCTGCTCTAGGGGACAAGCCGACCCTGCTCTAGGGGACAAGGCAACCCTGCTCTATGGGACAAGCCGACCCTGCTCCATGGGACAAGCCGGCCCCTGCCAACGGAGCACAGAGCGCTCCCTCCTTTGAGTCTCAGATTGTGTCAGTCCCTGACAAGTCTTCCCCTACTACAGAGCCCCTGCTGGTAACACCAGCCTGTGATGGTCAGTTGCTGGAGACCTGTTGGACCATTAGTAGGACCTTTAGTCAGCCTTTACTTGTCAGTTTCCTGCCATTAGTTGTTAGTCAATAGCTCCTCACTCACCAGACACTCAGATGTCCCTAGTGCCCTATAGCTAAGTAGTCAGGTGCTTCCATCCCGTAGTCCTGCCAGGTGGATAAAATACAGTGGTCCTACTAAGTCGGGGCTAATGAGCCCAGCTGGCGGGCCGATAATTAGTCCCCAGCTGGGACCAATTGGTCCCTGGGCGGGGACATGCGTACGCACGTGGTGGATGGATGGATTCTGGGAATCGTAGCTCCCCTCGGCACCCTCCACTAGTCATATGGCTTGATGGGTCAACAGGTAGAATGCTGGTTCAAGCCCCGCTCCGGCCGGCAAAGAATTTTGATCCCTTGACCTGGGATCCTCCCAGGTCTCAAACGACCGCCTGGGCCTGAGCTGGGATGCCCAGCCCAAAATGGGAGCTGCACGCCTTACACTGGTGTACTATAATACGTATTGGATCACAACTTTTACGTTACTGTGTAGTTTACCAATAAAATGGTCTGATGGTGATGTGGACATACTCGGTATTCATATCCCGAAAGAAATGAACAACAACACTTTGACTTCTACTTCCGGCTTATACAGTGCCTTGCAAAAGTATTCATCCCCCTTGGCGTTTTTCCTATTTTGTTGCATTACAACCTGTAATTTAAATGGATTTTTATTTGGATTTCATGTAATGGACTGTGGCAGATCAGGGGGTTTGGGTCAAGACGTTTACACAGATAAGACACGGACAGTGTATGATTAGCTCGGTTTCAAGGGTGTTTATTAATAAATAATCAAAAGAAAAGGTTAAGGTCTCCCCCATGAGACCCTCTCCAGGATACTGTCTCCAACTACACGGCAGTTACCTTAGTTCCCCCAGTCCTCTGCCCTTCTGGCAGCTTTATGGGCCTTGCACAGCTGGTGAGCAATCCGCCCTTAATTACTCACCAGCTCCCAATCAGCCCCAGTTAGTCCTGTCCGGGGAGCCCGCCGAGACCTGGCACGTCCAGCAGATGGAGCCACCACTTCGTGATGAATTCTCCATCTGTTACCAGGACTCGACGAGTCTCCCCCTGGTGGCTGACCTGCTGTACACCACAGGACACACACAAAATAGTCCAAATTGGTGAAGTGAAATAAAAAAAATAACTTGTTTCATAAAATTCTAAAACATAAATAACGGAAATGTGGTGCGTGCATATGTATTCACCCCCTTTGCTATGAAGCCCCTAAATAAGATCTGGTGCAACCAATTACCTTCAGAAGTCACATAATTAGTTAAATAAAGTCCACCTGTGTGCAATGTAAGTGTCACATGATCTTAGTATATATACACCTGTTCTGAAAGGCCCCAGAGTCTGCAACACCACCAAGCAAGGGGCACCACCAAGCAAGCGGCACCATGAAGACCAAGGAGCTCTCCAAACAGGTCAGGGATAAAGTTGTGGAGAAGTACAGATCAGTGATGGTTATAAAAAAAATATCCAAAACTTTGAACATCCCACGGAGCACCATTAAATCCATTATTAAGGAATGGAAAGAATATGGCGCCACAACAAACCTGCCAAGAGAGGGCCGCCCACCAAAACTCACGGACCAGGCAAGAAGCACATTAATCAGAGGCAACAAAGAGACCAAAGATAACCCTGAAGGAGCTGCAAAGCTCCACAGCGGAGATTGGAGTTTCTGTCCATAGGACCACTTTAAGCCATACAATCCACAGAGCTGGGCTTTATGGAAGAGTGGCTAGAAAAAAGCCATTGCTTAAAGAAAAAACTGGTCAGAATTGAAGGAATGATGGATGGCACTAAATACAGGGAAATTCTTGAGGGAAACCTGTTTCAGTCTTCCAGAGATTTGAGGTTCACCTTCCAGCAGGACAAGGACCCTAAGCATACTGCTAAAGCAACACTTGAATGGTTTAAGGGGAAACATTTAAATGTCTTGGAATGGCCTAGTCAATGCCCAGACCTCAATCCAATTGAGAATCTGTGGTATGACTTAAAGATTGCTGTACACCAGCGGAACCCATCCAACTTGAAGGAGCTGGAGCAGTTTTGCCTTGAAGGATGGGCAATAATCCCAGTGGCTAGATGTGCCAAGCTTATAGAGACATACCCCAAGAGACTTGCAGCTGTAATTGCTGCAAAAGGTGGCTCTACAAAGTATTGACTTTGGGGGGGAGAATAGTTATGCACGCTCAAGTTTTCTGTTTTTTTTTGTCTTATTTCTTGTTTGTTTCACCCAAAAAATATTTAGCATCTTCAAAGTGGTAGGCATGTTGTGTAAATCAAATGATACAAACCCCCCCAAAAATAAATGTTAATTCTGTGTTGTAAGGCTACAAAATAGGAAAAATGCCAAGGGGGGTGAATACTTTCGCAAGCCACTGTCCATACTATATACATGTTACGGACAAAGTATATTTTACAATAGTTATATTTTCTTTGTTTTTAGTCCCATCCTTCACCTCCACTCAACCCCTTCCATCTACAGTGCATTCGGAAAGTATTCAGACCCCTTCCCTTTTTTCACATTTTGTTTTACGTTACAGCCTTATCCTAAAATGAATTAAATAAATAAAAATCCTCATCAATCTACACACAACACCCCATAATGACAAAGCGAAAACAGGTTTTTAGAACATTTTGCAAATGTATTCAAAATAAAAACAGAAATACCTTATTTACATAAGTATTCAGACTCTTTGCTATGAGACTCGAAATTGAGCTCAGGTGCATCCTGTTTCCATTGATCATCCTTGTGATGTTTCTACAACTTGATTAGAGTCCACCTGTGGTAAATTCAATTGATTGTACATGATTTGGAAAGGTACACAACTGTCTATAAAAGGTCCCACAGTGCATGTCAGAGCAAAAACCAAGCCATGAGGTCGAAGCGATTGTCCGTAGAGCTCCGAGACAGGATTGTGTCGAGGCACAGATCTGGGGAAGGGTACCAAAACATTTCTGCAGCATTGAAGGTCCCCAAGAACAGAGTGGCCTCCATCATTCTTAAATGGAAGAAGTTTGGAACCACCAAGACTCTTCCTAGAGCTGGCCGCCCGGCCAAACTGAGCAATCAGGGGAGAAGGGCCTACATTTTCAAAAATGTCTAAAAACCTGTTTTTGCTTTGTCATTATGGGGTGTTGTGTGTAGATTGATGAAGGGATTTATTTGTTTACTCCATCTTAGAATAAGGCTGTAACGTAACAAAATGTGGAAAAAGTCAAGGGGTCTGAATACTTTCCGAATGCACTGTATCTCTGAACATCATCCAGTTTTGATTTCTATTTGCCATATATTTTTCAACTGTGCTGCGATGGTTCACAAAAGTTTACAAAAAAATATATGGGGAACTGGAAATGATGCAGACAATAACATTGATGGAAGGCACAATCTATCTGCAATATTAAAGCTGATCTACCGCCTAAAAAATAATAATAGAGTTTTTAATCCCGGTGCTGAGCTAGTGTGTAGCAGTTTTTTGCTATAGGCCAGGGTGTCAAACTTATTCCACGGAGGGCCGAGTGTACGCACGTTTTTGTTTTTTTCCTTTCAATTAAGACCTAGACAACCAGGTGAGGGGAGTTTCTTACTAATTAGTGACCTTAATTCATCAATCAAGTACAATGGTGGAGCGAAAACCCGCAGACACTCGGCCCTCCATGGAATGAGTTTGACACGGCATGTGTTTGCTCTAGAATGTTATGTACGGCCCTTATCGACTGAGGTGAATGAAGCTACAGCAGCCAAAGGGATAATGGCTGGAGTGATTTTGGCTTGTCTTTGCTTTTCTCCAAATAGCATTTTAGAGCTTTCAAATTGTGTAGATATCCAGTAAATCAGCTTCAACTTTCAAAAAAATTCCTGAAAGAAAATTCCTTGGAGGGAACTGTATCTAACTTGAATACGGATCAATATGATCACTTCAAATTAATTTATTTGAAGAAATTATGGCAGATACAAATTAACAGTTGAAACAGTTATTCAATACAATGCATCGGAGCCAATGTTTTACACTATTTGTGATACAATTTTGCCATTTATAGGCTACACCACGTAATGTGTCTGTGTCTATTATTTAATGCATGGTTATGCTTTACCTTCAGTATATGTAGCTATATGGTTTAGGCACAGAGTTTCTAAACCCAGAGGCGCAACATCGCGAGACGCAGAAGCAGACCAATCAGACCAGGCCGGGGTTTGAGATGAGAGAAGCAGACCAATCAGACCAGGCCGGGGTTTGAGATGAGAGAAGCAGGCCAATCAGACCAGGCCGGGGTTTGAGATGAGAGAAGCAGGCCAATCAGACCAGGCGGGGGTTTGAGATGAGAGAAGCAGGCCAATCAGACCAGGCCGGGGTTTGAGATGAGAGAAGCAGACCAATCAGACCAGTCAATGAGAGAAGTGAAACATTCTTCCTTAGTTGTTAATTTTCTTTTCGTCAAAAAACAACTTTATATCGAAGAAGTGCCTTTGATTTTACGGCTTGCACATGTGCAGTTCGGCACGAGACGACCGTTAGACCCGATAACTTGTTTCTGCATTGTGTCTGCACATGAGCTTAGGTAGCCAACGTCACCATGACATCGCCTACAAGCGTGAGCAATAGAGGATTTCTATTGAAGAAGCAGTTTCTGCCCATCTTTCAAACTGTACTGTCTTTGGTTTAGGCCTTCCTGTAGCCTAATACAAGCTTCTGTTCATCATTGTAGACAAAACTTGCTTAAATCCCCTAGAGTCTATTCACGCACCGGTGAGTAACATGATAAAATCCTGTTGAGCTAGATCCATTCAGATGTCGTTTATAGTGGAAAGTGGCCGAGCTACAGTGGAGTTTGTCAGATCATGAGACATCACGAAAATCGGTCTTCTCTGTAGAGTCGGTTTGGCCTACAAACTAATGTGACCCCACTGTGGAAAGGGGAGATTCTCACAAACACCATCATGGTGTTTGAAGGGAAGTATGGAGGTGGTTTTGAGCCTACCCAAAAAAGGGGTTAAATATGTATATTTTTTTGTAATATACACTACCATGCAAAAGTTTGGACACACCTACTCATTCAAAGGTTTTTCTTTATTTTTTTACAATTTTTTACATTGTAGAATAATAATGAAAACATCAAAACTATGAAATAACACATATGGAATCATGTAGTAACCAAAAAAGTGTTAAACAAATCAAAATATTTTTTATATTTGAGATTCTTCAAAGTAGCCACCCTTTGCCTTGATGACAGCTTTGCACACTCTTGGCATTCTCTCAACCAGCTTCATGAGGTAGTCACCCTGGAATGCATTTCAATGAACAGGTGTGCCTTCTTAAAAGTTCATTTGTGGAATTTCCTTCCTTCTTAATGCGTTTGAGCCAATCAGTTGTGTTGTGACAAGGTGGTGTGGGGGGAGGGGGGGGGGTATACAGAAGATAGCCCTATTTGGGAAAAGACCAAGTCCATATTATGGCAAGAACAGCTCAAATAAGCAAAGAGAAACGACAGTCTATCATTACTTTAAGACATGAAGGTCAGTCAATACGGAACATTTCAAGAACTTTGAAAGTTTCTTCAAGTGCAGTCGCAAAAACCATCAAGCGATATGATGAAACTGGCTCTCATGAGGACCACCACAGGAATGGAAGTCCCAGAGTTAACTCTGCTGCAGAGGATAAGTTCATTAGAGTTACCAGCCTCAGAAATTGCAGCCCAAATAAATGCTTCACAGAGTTCAAGTAACAGACACATCTCAACATCAACTGTTTAGAGGAGACTGTGAATCAGGCCTTCATGGTCGAATTGCTGCAAAGAAACCACTACTAAAGGACACCAATAATAAGAAGAGACCTGCTTGGGCCAATAAACACGAGCAATGGACATTAGACCGGTGGAAATGTGTCCAAATTGGAGATATTTGGTTCCAACCGCCGTGTCTTTGTGAGATGCGGTGTGGGTGAACGAATGATCTCCGCATGTGTAGTTCCCACCGTAAAGCATGGAGGAGGAGGTGTTATGGTGTGGGGGTGCTTTGCTGGTGACACTGTCTGTGATTTATTTAGAATTCAAGGCACACTTAACCAGCATGGCTACCACAGCATTCTGCAGCGATACGCCATCCCATCTGGTTTGGGCTTAGTGGGACTATCATTTGTTTTTCAACAGGACAATGACCCAACACACATCCAGGCTGTGTAAGGGCTATTTTACCAAGAAGGAGAGTGATGGAGTGCTGCATCAGATGACCTGGCCTCCACAATCCCCCGACCTCAACCCAATTGAGATGGTTTGGGATGAGTCGGACGGCAGAGTGAAGGAAAACAGCCAACAAGTGCTAAGCATATGTGGGAACTCCTTCAAGACTGTTGGAAAAGCATTCCAGGTGAAGTTGGTTGAGAGAATGCCAAGATTGTGCAAAGCTGTCGTCAAGGCAAAGGGTGGCTATTTGAAGAATCTCAAATATTGTCACGACTTCCTACGAAGCTGCCTCCCCTCCTTGTTCGGGCAGGCTTCGGTGTTCGTCGTCACCGGCCTTCTAGCCACTGCCGCTCCATATCTCATCATTCCATTTGTCTTGTCTTGTCAATTACACACACCTGGTTCATATTCAAATCAAATCAAATCAAATTTTATTTGCCACATGCGCCGAATAAAACAGGTGTAGACATTACCGTGAAATGCTTACTGACAGCCCTTAACCAACAATGCATTTATAAAAAATAACAGTAGGGAGGCTATATACAGGGCGGTACCGGTGCAGAGTCAATGTGTGGGGGCACCGGCTAGTTGAGGTAGTTGAGGTAATATGTAAATGTGGGTAGAGTTAAAGTGACTATGCATAAATAATTAACAGTGTAGCAGCAGCGTAAAAAGGATGGGGTGGGGGGGCAGTGCAAATAGTCCGGGTAGCCATGATTAGCTGGTCAAGAGTCTTATGGCTTGGGGGTAGAAGCTGTTGAGAAGCCTTTTGGACCTAGACTTGGCGCTCCGGTACCGCTTGCCGTGCGGTAGCAGAGAGAACAGTCTATGACTAGGGTGGCTGGAGTCTTTGACAATTTTGAGGGCCTTCCTCTGACACCGCCTGGTATAGAGGTCCTGGATGGCAGGAAGCTTGGCCCCAGTGATGTACTGGGCCGTACGCACTACCCTCTGTAGTGCCTTGCGGTCGGAGGCCGAGCAGTTGCCATACCAGGCGTTGATGCAACCAGTAAGGATGCTCTCGATGGTGCAGCTGTAGAACTTTTTGAGGATCTGAGGACCCTTCATTAGTACGTGTTTAAGTGTTCCCTCTGCCCCCCTTGTCCTTCTGGGTGATTGTTCATTGTGAGGATTAGCAGCTCGGTTGAGCTAAGTATTTTGTATTGCCGGGGTATTTCCCCCGTGTGCCTGTTTTACGCACTGGACTGGTTACGCTGGATTACGGAATAAACTCTGTATACTGGGATTTACCCTCCTGTGCCTGACTCCTTCAAATCACGCACCACAAATATAAAATATAGTTTGATTTGTTTAACACTTTTTTGGTTACTACATGATTCCATATGTGTTATTTCATAGTTTTGATGTCTTCGCTATTATTCTACAATGTAGAAAATAGTAAAAAATAAAGTAAAAACCCTTGAATGAGTAGGTGTGTCCAAACTTTGACTGGTACTGTATATCTAAAAAATAAATTAATGAATCATGAAGAGAGAGATGCAGTATCCTCAATCCTGACAAACAGATCAAACAAGAACAAAGTTACGGAGAACAAAGGTTGTTGTAGTAACAGACAGGAGTGATGGAGGTGTTGTTGTAATAACAGACAGGAGTGATGGAGGTGTTGTTGTAGTAACAGACAGGAGTGATGGAGGTGTTGTTGTAATAACAGACAGGAGTGACGGAGGTGTTGTTGTAGTAACAGACAGGAGTGATGGAGGTGTTGTTGTAATAACAGACAGGAGTGATGGAGGTGTTGTTGTAGTAACAGACAGGAGTGACGGAGGTGTTGTTGTAGTAACAGACAGGAGTGATGGAGGTGTTGTTGTAGTAACAGACAGGAGTGACAGAGGTGTTGTTGTAGTAACAGACAGGAGTGATGGAGGTGTTGTTGTAGTAACAGACAGGAGTGATGGAGGTGTTGTTGTAGTAACAGACAGGAATGATGGAGGTGTTGTTGTAGTAACAGACAGGAGTGATGGAGGTGTTGTTGTAGTAACAGACAGGAGTGATGGAGGTGTTGTTGTAGTAACAGACAGGAGTGACGGAGGTGTTGTTGTAGTAACAGACAGGAGTGATGGAGGTGTTGTTGTAGTAACAGACAGGAGTGATGGAGGTGTTGTTGTAGTAACAGACAGGAGTGACGGAGGTGTTGTTGTAGTAACAGACAGGAGTGATGGAGGTGTTGTTGTAGTAACAGACAGGAGTGATGGAGGTGTTGTTGTAGTAACCGACAGGAGTGATGGAGGTGTTGTTGTAGTAACAGACAGGAGTGATGGAGGTGTTGTTGTAGTAACATACAGGAGTGATGGAGGTGTTGTTGTAGTAACAGACAGGAGTGATGGAGGTGTTGTTGTAGTAACAGACAGGAGTGACGGAGGTGTTGTTGTAATAACAGACAGGAGTGACGGAGGTGTTGTTTGTAATAACAGACAGGAGGACGGAGGGTGTTGTGTAGTAACAGACAGGAGTGACGGAGGTGTTGTTGTAGTAACAGACAGGAATGACAGAGGTGTTGTTGTAGTAACAGACAGGAGTGATGGAGGTGTTGTTGTAGTAACAGACAGGAGTGACGGAGGTGTTGTTGTAGTAACAGACAGGAGTGATGGAGGTGTTGTTGTAGTAACAGACAGGAGTGACGGAGGTGTTGTTGTAGTAACAGACAGGAGTGATGGAGTGTTGTTGTAGTAAAGACAGGAGTGACGGAGGTGTTGTTGTAGTAACAGACAGGAGTGATGGAGGTGTTGTTGTAGTAACAGACAGGAGTGATGGAGGTGTTGTTGTAGTAACAGACAGGAGTGATGGAGGTGTTGGTTGTAGTAACAGACAGGAGTGATGGAGGTGTTGTTTGTAGTAACAGACAGGAGTGATGGAGGTGTTGTTGTAGTAACAGACAGGAGTGATGGAGGTGTTGTTGTAGTAACAGACAGGAGTGACGGAGGTGTGTTGTAGTAACAGACAGGAGTGATGGAGGTGTTGTTGTAGTAACAGACAGGAGTGATGGAGGTGTTGTTGTTAGTAACAGACAGGAGTGATGGAGGTGTTGTTGTAGTAACAGACAGGAGTGATGGAGGTGTTGTTGTAGTAAACAGACAGGAGTGACGGAGGTGTTGTTTGTAGTAACAGACAGGAGTGATGGAGGTGTTGTTGTAATAACAGACAGGAGTGATGGAGGTGTTGTTGTAGTAACAGACAGGAGTGACAGAGGTGATGTTGTAGTAACAGACAGGAGTGACAGAGGTGTTGTTGTAGTAACAGACAGGAGTGACAGAGGTGTTGTTGTAGTAACAGACAGGAGTGACAGAGGTGTTGTTGTAGTAACAGACAGGAGTGACAGAGGTGTTGTTGTAGTAACAGACAGGAGTAATGGAGGTTGTTGTTGTAGTAACAGACAGGAGTGATGGAGGTGTTGTGTAGGTAACAGACAGGAGTGACGGAGGTGTTGTTGTAGTAACAGACAGGAGTGATGGAGGTGTGTTGTGTAGTAACAGACAGGAGTGACGGAGGTGTTGTTGTAGTAACAGACAGGAGTGATGGAGGTGTTGTTGTAGTAACAGACAGGAGTGATGGAGGTGTTGTTGTAGTAACAGACAGGAGTGATGGAGGTGTGTTGTAGTAACAGACAGGAGTGATGGAGGTGTTGTTGTAGTAAACAGACAGAGTGACGGAGGTGTTGTTGTAGTAACAGACAGGAGTGACGGAGGTGTTGTTGTAGTAACAGACAGGAGTGACAGAGGTGTTGTTGTAGTAACAGACAGGAGTGATGGAGGTGTTGTTGTAGTAACAGACAGGAGTGATGGAGGTGTTGTTGTAGTAACAGACAGGAGTGATGGAGGTGTTGTTGTAGTAACAGACAGGAGTGATGGAGGTGTTGTTGTAGTAACAGACAGGAGTGATGGAGGTGTTGTTGTAGTAACAGACAGGAGTGATGGAGGTGTTGTTGTAGTAACAGACAGGAGTGATGGAGGTGTTGTTGTAGTAACAGACAGGAGTGATGGAGGTGTTGTTGTAATAACAGAGAATGAGTAGGTGTGTCCAAACTTTTGACCGGTAGTGTATTTCCTGAGCTGTCTAGATACAGGACAGACACTGATGTATTTTTTTACTGTCTTTTTTGCCATTTATGAATGTTATTCAATGCATTTCTATGGGCCATGGTAGCAAAGGCCAAATTCATTATATGATCAAGAGTGGCGCAGTGGTCTAAGGCACTGCATCGCAGTGCTAACTGTGCCACTAGAGATCCTGGTTCGAATCCAGGCTCTGTCGCAGCCGGCCGCGACCGGGAGACTCATGGGGCGGCGCACAATTGGCCCAGCGTCGTCCAGGGTAGGGGAGGGAATGGCCGGCAGGGATGTAGCTCAGTTGATAGAGCATGGCGTTTGCAACGCCAGGGTTGTGGGTTCGATTCCCACTGGGGGCCAGTATAAAAAAATATGTATTCACTAACTGTAAGTCGCTCTGGATAAGAGCGTCTGCTAAATGACTAAAAATGTAAAAAAAATCATTTTTGTAATAAACATTTTTTATACCTAAAGTGGTCCTAAAATTCCAAATCAAATAGCTAAATGATCCATGGTATGACCTTAAAACCATTCCATGTGCTCCCTCCCCCCTCCCCCCTCCCCCATTGGTATGTTATACTAAAAAGCGATATTGTACTGTACAGCGTTGTGCCAGTAGCCGAAAGGTCGCTGGTTCTAATCCCCGTCTGTGCCCTTGAGCAAGGCACTTAACCCTAATTGCTCATGGAAGTCGCTCTGGATAAGAGCATCTGCTAAATGACTAAAATGTAAATGTTCGACTTGGCAAATCTGGTTGCGATTTCCCATAATGAGTAAGATTTTAGGCACAGGAGGGGGGCTATGCCTTTTACCCATGGGAGTGAAAGCTAAGCTTCGCCCCTGAGCCCTATGATTTGTAGGCCTATGTTATTTTTTTAAAAAATGTTGGGGGGGGGGGACAAGTTGGCATTAAACAAGGGCACTTCAAACTGGACCCCATTCATAAACGGTAATGAGAAGCGTTTCCTACTAAACACCGTTATTATCGTCAAAGAACGTCACCATCAACAGTCCGAAGTCAACTGTTGAGCGGCCAGGGTCTGCGTTCTGCGCACAGCGGCCAGGGTCTGCGTTCTGCGCACAGCGTCAGTCCAGCAGTGGACATCGGAGGTTGGCAGCATCTGTGTCTGTGCGCTTCTGTTGATGATCACAGGGTTGGGATTGACAAGAAATGACTCACAGGAGACTGTATTTCAATGAAAGTGATTCAACAAAACGATGTTCTACAGAAGGAGATTCTCATAGAAATCCTCCACTCTTGAAGACAGACTCATCTGCCAACAGCAGCGCAAATTGCCACGGACATTACAAGAGGTGAGTGGCATATTTTCAGACTTGGAACAATGATAGACTTATTATAAAGACAAAAAACATCGTATTCTGACCGTTACGCGTTGTTGTAGTAAGGCTATATCGATGGTTAGGCTATGAAAAAGGAAAATGCATTCATATTGTTGCTGTCAAATAAGTTTTAGTCTACAGTCCCCAAACGTATTTTTAGTCGATGTTTGGACAGTATCTTTGACCTCGTGGATTAAGAAAACCAGCGGATGTTAAGTAGCCTTTCCCAGTGTCCGAAGGGACCCAATGGAAAATGAAATACATTGGACTCTATAGCCCAAGATGGACTGTTTAGGACTGCATAACATTGACAGTCCATGAAATTGATTAATTGGACACTAGCTCTCATAAAAGCGCTATTCATTTTATGTTATGCCAAGAGGACACTGTCTGTCTGTGTCCACTTAATTTTCTGAATGAAGCCTATACTTAAAGGAAGTATAGCCTGCTTATCCAATGTATAGCCTACTTTTCTATACTGAACAAAAATTTAAACACAACAATTTCAACGATTTTACTGATTTACAGTTCACATAAGGAAATCAATCAATTGAAACGAATTCATTAGGCCCTAATCTATGGATTTCACATGACTGGGCCCGGGGCGCAGCCATGGGTGGGCCTGGGAGGGCATAGGCCCACCCACTTGGGAGACAGGCCTACCCACTGGGGAGTTTTCACCCACAAAAGGGCTTTATTACAGACAGAAATACTCCCCAGTTTCATTAGCTGTTCGGGTGGCTGGTCTCAGACGGTCCCGCAGGTGATGAAGCCGGATGTGGAGGTCCTGGGCTGGCGTGGTTACACGTGGTTACCGTGGTTACACGTGGTCTGCGGTTGTGAGGCCTATTGGACATAATGCCACATTTTCTAAAACGGCGTTGGAGCCGGCTCATGGTAGAGAGATGAACATACAATTATCTGGCAACAGCTCTGGTGGACATTCCTGCAGTCAGCATGCCAATGGCACACTCCCTCAAAACTTGAGACATCTGTGGCATTGTGTTGTGTGACAAAACTGCACATTTTAGAGTGGCCTTTTATTCTCCCCAGAACAAGGTGCACCTGTGTAATGATCATGCTGTTTAATCAGCTTCTTGATACGCCATACCTGGCAAAGGAGAAATGCTCAGTAACAGGGATGTAAACAAATTTGTGCACAAAATTTGAGAGGAATAAGCTTTTTATGTGTATGGAACATTTCTGGGATGTTTTATTTCAGGACATGAAACATGGGACCAACACTTTATATGTTGCATTTATATTTTTGTTCAGTGTGATATATTGTAAATGGAACAGGCAGGGAGCACGGTTCGATCTCTCAACCTTCTGGTCCGAAGCCTAGCGTGCCATCGACTGTGCCATCGAGGCTACATCCGCGTTTGTAAACCAGGGTCAATACTTCAGAAAATATTCACAACCCTTGACTTTTTCCACATTTTGTTATGTTAACAGCCTGACTTTTAAAATGGATTAAATTGAGATTTTGTGTCACTGGCCGACACACAATACCCCATAATGTCAAAGTGAAACTATGTTTTTAGAAATTTTTACAAATTAATGAAAGATGAAAAGCTGAAAAGCTGAAATGTCTTGAGTCAATAATAGTGCTGAGCGACTCTATGGAAAATAATGAACAACGTGGAAGGTGTGTTCGACACGCTAGGGAGTGGAACTTATGTTCCACGGAGTTGCATTATATTCCAGAGAACGCATAGAGCCCCTAGTTGATTATCCCTTTCATATCATGGCTACAATTTATACATTTGCCACTTGAAATGTGTTCATTTGCCGGTAGAAATGTGTTCATTTGCTGGTAGAAATGTGTTCATTTGCAGGTAGAAATGTGTTCATTTGCAGGTAGAAATGTGTTCATTTGCTGGGAGAAATGTGTTCATCTGCCACTAGAAATGTGTTCATTTGCCACTAGAAATATGTTCATTTGCAGGTAGAAATGTGTTCATTTGCAGGTAGAAATGTGTTCATTTGCTGGTAGAAATGTGTTCATTTGCTGGTAGAAATGTGTTCATTTGCTGGTAGAAATGTGTTCATTTGCAGGTAGAAATGTGTTCATTTGCAGGTAGAAATGTGTTTATTTTCAGGTAGAAATGTGTTCATTTGCCACTAGAAATGTGTTCATTTGCTGGCAGAAATGTGTTCATTTGCTGGTAGAAATGTGTTCATTTGCTGGTAGAAATGTGTTCATTTGCTGGTAGAAATGTGTTCATTTGCCACTAGAAATGTGCTCATTTGCTGGTAGAAATGTATTCATTTGCAGGTAGAAATGTGTTCATTTGCTGGTAGAAATGTGTTCAGTTGCCACTAGAAATGTGTTCATTTGCTGGTAGAAATGTGTTCATTTGCTGGTAGAAATTTGTTCATTTGCCGGTAGAACTGTGTTCATTTGCAGGTAGAAATGTGTTCATTTGCTGGTAGAAATGTGATCATTTGCAGGTAGAAATGTGTTCATTTGCAGGTAGAAATGTGTTCATTTGCAGGTAGAAATGTGTTCAACATCCACTGAAGTAGCTAGCAAGTTTACTAGATAACTACAGTAGTTGCTGTGGTAACCAAACAAACAGACTTGCTAGTTTAGCGAACCAAACCATCAGTCCAAGCTTGCTATTATGAAAATACAATTCAACAATACTAATGCTGTTTTCAATTCGACTTTTGCTTTCAAAAGCAGCTCAAACACAGAACATGTAAGAAATAACTATAGCCATTTAATTCTACTGTGCAAATATACAGTGCTTTATAGGGAAAGAATGCACGCTCCAGAATGCCATTCAGAAAGGAGGATTCTACAATACGAATATCGCCTTATTCAGCAGCTGGCAATAAATTATTGGGTCAACCTTCAAGGACATGGGGTGTCTCATCCTGCGAAAGGGATTTTACAGGCATGCTGGGAACATGAGTGTAGACAGAACACGAGCTTTGGGTGGGTGGGTAATTTTATTTATTTATTTCACCTTTATTTAACCAGGTAAGCCAGTTAAGAACAAGTTCTCATTTACAACTGCGACCCGGCCAAGATAAAGCAAAGCAGTGCGATAAAAACAACAACACAGAGTTACATATGGAGTAAACAAAACGTACAGTCAATAACACAATAGAAAATCTATATACAGTGTGTGCAAATGTAGTAAGTTATGGAGGTAAGGCAATAAATAGGCCATAGTATTAATGCTGGAGTGATAGATGTGCAGAAGATGATGTGCAAATAGAGATACTGGGGTGCAAATGAGCAAAATAAATAACAATGTAAATAACAATATGGGGATGAGGTAGTTGGGTGGGCTAATTTCAGATGGGCTGTGTGCAGGTGCAGTGATCGGTAAGCTGCTCTGACAACTGATGCTTAAAGTTAGTGAGGGAGATAAGTGTCTCCAGCTTCAGAGATTTTTGCAGTTCGTTCCAGTCATTGGCAGCAGAGAACTGGAAGGAATGGCGGCCAAAGGAGGTGTTGGCTTTGGGGATGACCAGTGAGATACACCTGCTGGAACGCATACTACGGGTGGGTGTTGCTATGGTGACCAATGAGCTAAGATAAGGCGGGGATTTGCCTAGAAGGGATTTATAGATGACCTGGAGCCAGTGGGTTTGGCGACAAATATGTAGTGAGGGCCAGCCAACGAGAGCGTACAGGTCACAATGGTGGGTAGTATATGGGGCTTTGGTGACAAAACGGATGGCACTGTGATAGACTACATCCAATTTGCTGAGTAGAGTGTTGGAGGCTATTTTGTAAATGACATCACCAAAGTCAAGGATCGGTAGGATAGTCAGTTTTACGAGGGCATGTTTGGCAGCATGAGTGAAGGAGGCTTTGTTGCGAAATAGGAAGACGATTCTAGATCTAACTTTTGATTGGAGATGCTTAATGTGAGTCTGGAAGGAGAGTTTACAGTCTAACCAGACACCTAGGTATTTGTAGTTGTCCACATACTCTAGGTCAGACCCGCCGAGAGTAGTGATTCTAGTCGGGTGGGCGGGTGCAAGCAGCGTTCTGTTGAAGAGCATGCATTTAGTTTTACTAGTGTTTAAGAGCAGTTGGAGGCTACTGAAGGAGTGCTGTATGGCGTTGAAGCTCGTTTGGAGGTTTGTTAACACAGTGTCCAATGAAGGGCCAGATGTATACAAAATGGTGTCGTCCGCATAGAGGTGGATCCGAGCGTCACCAGCAGCAAGAGCGACATCATTGATATACACAGAGAATAGAGTCGGTATGGGGCTTTGGTGAATACCCAGGCGAAGGAGATGGGACTGGATGGAAGGGAGTTTAGTCCAACGGGACTGTATGGAAGGGAGTTTAGTCCAACGGGACTGGATGGAAGGGAGTTTAGTCCAACGGGACTGGATGGAAGGGAGTTTAGTCCAACGGGACTGTATGGAAGGGAGTTTAGTCCAACGGGACTGGATGGAAGGGAGTTTAGTCCAACGGGACTGTATGGAAGGGAGTTTAGTCCAACGGGACTGGATGGAAGGGAGTTTAGTCCAACGGGACTGTATGGAAGGGAGTTTAGTCCAACGGGACTGGATGGAAGGGAGTTTAGTCCAACGGGACTGTATGGAAGGGAGTTTAGTCCAACGGGACTGGATGGAAGGGAGTTTAGTCCAACGGGACTGTATGGAAGGAAGTTTAGTCCAACGGGACTGGATGGAAGGGAGTTTAGTCCAACGGGACTGTATGGAAGGGAGTTTAGTCCAACGGGACTGGATGGAAGGGAGTTTAGTCCAACGGGACTGTATGGAAGGGAGTTTAGTCCAACGGGAC